GGTGGCCAGGTCGGGAGGGTCGTGGTTCCCTGGTGCTGAGGTCTCTGTGAACGGGAGCAGGTGGTGGGGTGGGCGGCGCTGCTGGCAGGCTGTCCTGCGTTCTGGGGGCACCTGTCCCTGGAGTGCCCTAACCATGATTTACCTGGACAGGGTTACAAAGAGAAAGGAGACAGCACCTCCCACTCGCGGTTCACTGCCCCAACGGCCACAAGGCCAGGCCCGGCCAGGGCGGACCCCGTCTGTCCCCACGCGGGCGCTCGGCCTCACCGCGGCTCTCCCAGGCCACAGCAGGGAGCCGGGTCGGAAGCTGAGCAGCCGGGCTCCAACCCGCGTCTGCTGGGACGCTGGCGCCGCACGCAGCCCCAGGACACCTGGCCTAGGACAGGCCGGGGTCGCACTGGGGGTCACCTCCTGCTCAGCCCCGCCTAGGACAGGCCGGGGTCGCACTGGGGGTCACCTCCTACTCAGCCCCGCCTAGGGCAGGCCGGGGTCGCACTGGGGTCACCTCCTGCTCAGCCCCGCCTAGGGCAGGCCGGGGTCGCACTGGGGGTCACCTCCTACTCAGCCCCGCCTAGGGCAGGCCGGGGTCGCACTGGGGTCACCTCCTGCTCAGCCCCGCCTAGGACAGGCCGGGGTCGCACTGGGGTCACCGCCGGCTCAGCCCCGCCTAGGGCAGGCCGGGGTCGCACTGGGGCCCCCGCCGGCTCAGCCCCGCCTAGGGCAGGCCGGGGTCGCACTGGGGGTCACGTCGCACTGGGGGTCACCGCCGGCTCAGCCCCGCCTAGGGCAGGCCGGGGTCGCACTGGAGGTCACCGCCGGCTCAGCCCCGCCTAGGACAGGCCGGGGTCGCACTGGGGGTCACCTCCTGCTCAGCCCCGCCTAGGACAGGCCGGGGTCGCACTGGGGGTCACCTCCTGCTCAGCCCCGCCTAGGACAGGCAGGGGTCGCACTGGGGGTCACGTCGCACTGGGGGTCACCGCCGGCTCAGCCCCGCCTAGGACAGGCCAGGGTCGCACTGGGGGTCACGTCGCACTGGGGGTCACCGCCGGCTCAGCCCCGCCTAGGGCAGGCCGGGGTCGCACTGTCCACGCTGCCCGCTCTACGGCGCGGGGGCTTCGCGCTGTCCACTCTCCGCGCCGAGGCCGCCGCAGAGCCGGGTGCGCTCGCACTCCCCCGGCCCCAGCCTCCGGTTGCACCGTCCTGCGTCCGCGCAGACCTGTTCCGGCCCAGGTCGGTGTCGGCCGCGGTGCTCGAGCCGCAGGTTTGGAAGGACGAGGAATCCGGCCCCGTGCTGGCCCGGCGCACTCCTCGTCGACCCTCAGGGCTCCGCGGTGCCACTTCCTCCGAGAAGCCTTCCCGACTTCTCCTTATCCCTGTCCTCCACACAGGCGCCAAGTCCCGCAGGACACCGCCTCCGCTCTGGTCCACAGCCACCGTGGGCCTCACTGGCCCGGGCAGGCAGCAGGGGCTCAGCAACCTCCGGCCCTCTTCCGCCCGCAGCAAGCCCACAGGTGCGGTGCCCGAGGCCTCCGCCCTGCACCTGCTCCTCGGGCTCCGCGGAGGCGGCTCAACTTTTCCCGGCAGGCCTTGCGCGGGGAGGTGGGGCGTGCCGCGGCTCCCAGCAGCCCTTGCGCGGCAGGGCGGGGCAGAGGCACGTGGCTGCGCGAGGTGGGCGGGATCCTTGCCTCCCGACTGGGCGAGACGCGATCTGATTGGAGGGCCTCACGCAGTGGGGGCGGGAACGGCGGGGGCCGCGGCCCCACCCGGCCCTCAGGGCAGCGCGCTGATTGGAGAGTTCCCAGAGGGGGCAGGGTGTTGGAACGGCGGCGCCGCGCAGGCGCGCTCCCTCGGCCGTCGCAGTTCCCGCCGCTCGGAGCAGGCGGTTGAGGCGGCGCCGACGCCGCGCTGCGGTCCACCATGCTGCGCAAGCTCACCGTCGACCAGATCAACGACTGGTTCACCATCGGCAAGACCGTGACGAATGTGGAGCTGCTGGGCTCGCCGCCCGCGCTCCCGGCCGAGGCGGCCCGGGAGGAGGCGCCGCACAAGGCCGCCGGCGCGAACGCTGACCCGGCCGAGGCCCCGACGGTCGAGGCCTGTGGAAGGTAGGCCGCGGGCTCGCGGGCAGCCGGGACGGCCGGGGTCCCCGAGCCCGAGCCCCTGGGCAGCCGGCCTCCCCGCCGCGGGCTCGGTTCCGTCGCAGATGGACGTTTCGAAGCGAGTTTCCGGTGTCCGGAGAAGCGGAACGGAGGGGACAGGCGAGGGTGTCGCCTGGCGGCCAGCAGCTTGCGCCCGCCCTCCGCCTGGCCCCGGGCTCTGGCCGTGTCCACCTGCGGGGGGGGGGGGGGCGGCTTGGCTCTGCTTCCGGCTCCCGGCGCTCTCGCTTCGTCCTCGCCGCCCGCCGAGAGGTTCGCAGGCCCGTCTCGTCCCACGGAGGGAGGTGGCGCAGGAAGTCCAGCGTGGGAGAGTCCGACCTCAGCCGCGTGCCCACGCGCAGATGCCCTTCGGGATCTGGCCCTGCGCGCGTGTCCCCCCCTGCCCGGGAGGCGGACGGTGGGGGCGCCAGGTGTCTTCCAGCCTAGGCGGCAGCCCCGGAGGGGGCGCTGGGCTTGTGCGCACGCGTGCTCGGATTGAAGGAGGCGCAGGGCAGACGGGGTGGGGGTGAGGGCCGAGCCCCGACGTGAGCTGGGGTGGCTGGTTCATTCTGCGTGTCCGCTTGGCGGGGCCCTGGGTGTTTGGGGGAAGCTGTGTGTTGGATGAGGACTTGCAGCCGAGTGGTGTCCCCCACGGCCGGGCGGGCCTCCCACGGTCAGTCGGGGGCTGACCTCTCTGAGCCAGAAGGAACCCTGTCCGGAGACCGTGGCCTGCAGCGCCCCCCCCCCCCCCCCCCCGCCATGGCCTGCCCTGCGGGTTAGGACTTGCACCTGTCCGGTCCTGTGAGCTAATTCCTGAAAATAAACTCTTCGTAAACTCAGCTTGTTGGTTCTGTTTGTTGGGTGGTGAGTTCTCACTAATACACCATCCAAACCGGAGATAGGAAGATGGCTTAGACCCGGCAGGTTGGGCGGGGGTGTGCGCTGTCGGAATTAAGGATACCGAATTTTAAAGACTTGGCTTCTTTATGTTGAAAGAGTTGGAGAGAGGGAGAGGGAGGTCTTCCATCCTCTGGTTTGCTGCCCAGATGGCTGCAGTGGCCAGAGCTGGGCCAGGGAGCTGGATTGGAAGTGGTGCAGCCGGGACACAAACTGGCACCCACATGGGATGCCGCCCTCACAGCTGGCGGCTTTACCCGCTGTGCCATGGCGCCGTCTCCCAGGATCCATTCTTTTTTTTTTTTTTTTTTTAAAGATTTTATTTATTTGACAGAGTTACAGTAAGAGGGAGAGACAGAGAGAGAGGTCTTCCTTCTGTTGGTTCACTCCCCAAATGGCCACCTCGGTGGGCGCACCTCGCTGATCCGAAGGCAGGAGCCAGGTGCTTCTCCTGGTCTCCCATGGGGTGCAGGGCCCAAGCACTTGGGCATCCTCCACTGCACTCCCTGGCCACAGCAGAGAGCTGGCCTGGAAGAGGGGCAGCCGGGAAAGAATCCGGCACCCATATGGGATGCTGGTGCCGCAGGCGGAGGATTAACCAAGTGAGCCATGGAGCCCCCCCCCCCTTTTTTTTTAAGGATCCATTCTTTAGATCGAGGTCAGGGCCTTGAGCTGGGCTGGATAACAGGACGGGGGTGGAAAGCAGTTGCAGGCGACACCCAGGTTTCTGGCTGAGCGACAGGAAGCTGTTGGCACCCACAGGGAGGCAAGGCTGCAGGGGTAACTGGCTCCTGGGGGCAGTGCTAGGGGTTTGATTGTGCGTGTGTGGACTCTTCTGTCAGCCAGAGCTGCGAGCAGCCTGGAGCTGAGGGAGGTCTGGCTGGGGCTGGGTGTGTGGGGTTCAGGGCTTGGAGACCTCAGACGCTGGGTGTGTGTGGAGGGGGAGGCGGCCGGGCGGCCAAACCTGGGTGTTGGGTGTTGGGGACTGGGCAGGTGGAGTGAGCAGAGGGGTCAGGCAGGCGGGGGGGAGGGCACCCACTTTTACAAGCAGCTGTTGGCCTGGTGCCCTTCGTGTGCACATCTTTGTGTTTTCCGTGAGTTGTTTTCCTGGGCTGTGCTCCCCGTGCAGGGGTTTAGCGAGGGTCTGGGCCCCTCACTCTGCCTCTCAGTGCAGTGCCCGCCCGGCACAGCAGGGGCGCTGGTAGTGAGTGAGCTGCCTCCGCAGATCCCGGTCCTGGCTCTTACAATGCCAGACCTCAGACCTCGTTCTATGCACAGTCGCTCCCAGCCTGCGTGCCTGACTCCCGGGAGGGGCGCGTGCCCTGTGCGCCCAGCCAGCGGCATCAGTAGGAGTGTTACACAGTGGGGTTTAAGTCGAAATTGAGGGCAGCTGAATGTTATAGGAACTGGCCAGGAAAGCAGAGAAAAAGCGAAGTGTTTTTTTTTTTTTTTTTTTTTTGAGTGGATATTTAATTGTAGTCTTGCTTTATTTTTAGGGGAAGGCAAAGCAGCCTCCTAACACAGGCTCAGGTTTTTGGATTTAGCTTTGAGAGTGGTGAAGGCTCGCACTGTGTCAAAAAACCCAACTCATGCATCGTTTCCTGCTTTTTGTTAATTAATTTTTGTTGACAGATTTCCTGCCATCCATTCCCCAAACGCCCACGGCAGCTGAGTCTGCGACAGGCTGAAGCCAGGAGCCTGGAGCCCCGAGTGACCCTCGTGGGTGGCAGGGGCACGAGGAGGACTCGCCGTCCGCTGCCGCCCCGGGTCATTGTCAGCAGCCAGGCCCCCGCGGGCGCCGCAGGCGGCGTCCTGGTCGTCCTCTCCGGTCCTGCGTTGAGTGCAGCTGGAGTGCTGACTTCTGCTACTTCACCTGGTGTGGCAGAGATTCAGCTTCTGCTTTTGAGAGTGGCAGCTGCTGACGCTCCGGTCCGTGTGTTTTGCTGGCGTGTTGTGTTGTGGAGCTGCGTTTATTGCACTTAACTTAGCACTGAGATAAGAGTGTGGCGGGAAGGAGCCTGCGGCGGAGATCCAGCGCCCTGGTCTCCCGTCCCTGCTGAGAACGAAATCATGCAGTGGGCTGTTGGCTTCATTTCCGTTTTTATTGTAAAGATAAGATCCACATTAACCATTTTATTCTACCCATAGCTTCTGTTAGAATAACAGTCCAGCTTCACCCTGTCCCACGTAGGATTCCAAACCGCATAGCAGGTAAGGTTGCCGTAGTTCCTGGAGAGGTGTCTGAGTACAAGGAAATACTGCACACTCTAGATACCGGGACACGTTTTAGCTAAGCGCCTACCGTTCAGGGAAAGCGTAGTGTGCTTAGAGCATCTTAGAAGGGAGCGCTGCAGTCGGGGCCGCTTCTGACCTCGCGACAGAGGCAGAGGCCGTTGCTGTCCCGGAGGCGCGTGCTCTCGGTGGCTGTAGACACCGCTCGGCTGCCGGTGGCTTAACTGCGCGGGTGAGGCTGCGGCAGGCTCCACGTTCCGCGAGAGAGCGCCAGGTACCTGCTCTGTGTGTCTTTGTCCACGTAACTTGAGATGGTGGGTATTTCCTCCTTGCCGGCCCCCGAGGGCGCCTGCAGACCCCCGGGGGCGCCCCCTCTGCCAGCGGCACTCAGGAAATCTCTCAGGACCTGCTTGAAGATGTAGACTATTTCCCACGGCAATACATCATTTTCTGCCAAAACTTCTCGAAATCTAGGGGAAATGGGTAACCAACATTCAGTTCAGAGAATTTGTTGTGTTCCTGTATCTCCTGAATACAGCTCAGATAATGGAATTCTGCGTTGATACCTGACTTTGCCTTAAAACTATACTTGTAGTAAAGGAGCTGTGATTGTAATACGCCGTTTCCTGCCAGTAAGACGCCCCCAGGTGCACTTGTGCAGCTCGCTAGGGGTTTTGGTGGCTGGGTGTCTGGTGTGTGCGGTGGGACTGACAGGCTGGACTGGCGTGCGTCCGAGTGTGCGGGGAGGGGTCGGGACGGCCACGGCTTTACCTGCTGAGCACAGCTGCGGTTTGGCAGGCCTGCACTTGGGAGCAGAGGACTTCGAGTTGTCTCTGTTCAGTGGCTGGGATGGCCGCGTGGGGACTCTGGTGGCTTCTCAGCCAGTTGCAGTCCACGCCTGCTTTCTTCCCTTTTTGCTCATTTTCGATCTCTTGGATGAACCTCTCTCGTTCCTTCAGGTGCCACGTTAGCTCCCGAAGCAGGGTCTGCGTTGCTGCGTCCGAGCCAGCGTTGGCTGTGGCTTTGTAGGCGTCCGCCTTGGGCCACTTCATCCAGCCAAAGAGTGGCATCGTCAGCCTGTGGAAATAGCATCACTTGTTTATTTGCATAAAACGTACAGTTCTGATGAGTTTATTGGTTTATTCACATAAAGTTGAACACATGAAGTTCCCCTGCTGCTGAATATGCAGGTCAGAATAAGGTCAGAACATGGATTGAAGTCTTCATTTCTAACTAGGTCAGTGCCAGATCCAGGCTTTGAAAACACTTTTCTGGAGCTAAGCAGAAATTAAATGTACAGAATCAGACACAGTCCACAGAGAGACCGCTTCTGAAATCACAGACTTGCTCCTGCGGGCTCTTAGGCGGAAGGTCTAAACCAGCAGTGTGTGAGGAGAGCGGTCTGCAGTTCGATTTGCGCTTTCATAGAAAAGCTTCGCACTTACCCTGGCTGCTCGCTGGGCTCAGCGCACACGCGCGGGCGGGAGCCGGGCCTCACCGCGCCTGTCCTGTCCCCCTGGGTGTGTCGGCCGCGGGAGGGAAGAGCCTGCTGCCCACTGAGACTGCGTTTGGAGTGAATCTCTGTTAGGAACGAGGTTGCGATGTCTTCGTCTGGAGCGAGTGCTCACTAGTTCACCTCTCAGTAAGCTCGAGGAAGTGACAGGAATAACTACTAATCTTCACAGATTATGTAACCGTCCACCTTCGGACGTAGCCAGTCTGTTTAGGAAACACGCCGGCAGCTGTGGAGGCTGGTCCTAAATGCATTCGGACGTGTCTTTGGCAGGGAAACGGGGAGCGGCCGGCTGAGCGAGCGCCCCGCATGCGCTCCCGGCTGAACTGGACGCTGCCGCCTGCTGTGCTGCTGGGCTGTGCGTAGCTGTAGGGCACAGTTAGTGCTGTGTGTTGGTGCCTGTAGAGCTCTAAAAATAACCATGTTGCTTTTATTCTTCAGCTTAACTTTCAGGCCGCCTAGAAGCCAGGTCACTGTCCCCTCTAATGAACGCAGGAGAAAGAGATCAGACTTGGCTGTGCGAAGCCCGTGTCCTGAGAAGGCTGTGGTGGTTGAGCAAAATGGGAAGGAAGGTGCGTCCGTCCCCGTGAGGTAGTTAGCGGCATTGCATCCTGTGTTCGCGTGGGCTTTTTCTTGCCTAATGGTCAGGACATTTCTCTTTGAGACGTTGAATGCTACAGGCTATTAGAAGCACTTGAAGAGGTGACTTTAAATAAACTGTGTCTCTGAAGACAGATGACAAGGTGGCACTGAGTTACCAGGAACAGAGCACAGAGACCCTGAGTAAAATGCGGCTTAAGTTCGTGTGTTCTGATACTGTGTTTCCATTTCAGACAGTTACAAAGTGGCTATTCAAAAGCAGAGGTGGCAATAGAGTCACTGTGATTTTTTTTTTAAGATTTATTTATTTATTTGAAAGGTAGACTTAGAGAAAGAGAGACAGATCTTCATCTGCTGGTTCACTCCCTAAATGGCTGGGCCAGGCTGAAGCCAGGAGCCAGGAGCTTCTTCCGGGTCTTCCAAGTGGGTGCAGGGGCTCAAGTACTTGGGCCGTCGTCAGCGGTTTTCCAGGTCCATTAGCAGGGGGCTGGATAGGGAGTGGAGCAGCTGGGACTTGAACCAGTGTCCATATGAGATACCAGTGCTGGCTGGCGCTGCGGCTCACTTGGCTAATCCTCTGTCTGTGGCGCAGGTACCCCGGGTTCTAGTCCCGGTTGGAGCGCTGGATTCTGTCCCGGTTGCTCCTCTTCCAGTCTAGCTCTCTGCTGTGGCCCGGGAAGGCAGTGGAGAATAGCCCAAGTGCTTGGGCCCTGCACCTGTGTGGGAGACCAGGAGAAGCACCTGGCTCCTGGCTTCGGATCAGCGCAGCGCACCGGCTGTGGCAGCCATTGGAGGGTAAACCAACGGCAAAAGGAAGACCTTTCTCTCTGTCTCTCTTTCTCTCACTGTCCACTCTGCCTGTCAGAAAAAAAAGATACCAGTGCTGCAGGCTGCAGCTTAATTCACTGTGCCTCAGTGCCAGCTGCACTGTGATTTTTTTTTAATGTATCTGAGGGGCAGATATAGAGACAAAGAGGCAGAGGGAGAGCTCGCATCTTCTGGTTCACACCCTGGTGTGATGACCAGGGCTGGGCCAAGCCAAAGTCAGGAACCAGGAACTGCACCCAGGTCTCCACATGGTGCTGGGACTCCAATACTTGAGCCATCACGGGCACCTGCAGGGTGTGTGTGGTCAGGAGGCTGGAGTCAGGACCAGAGCTGGCAGTTGAACCCAGGCACTCCGCGAGCGCCTGCAGCTGCAGGGGGCCGCTGGGGGGAGTGCTGTCACAGTAGGCGTGAGTCCTTGCCTCGCGGTGCCAGGTGCAGTGGGATGTGAGATCCGTCCACTGGAGGAGAGTGGAGCTGGCGTCGCGCTTTCCAGTGTGTGAGCACTGGGAGCCGTGGGTGAAGCAGGCACGCTGTGCTCGATCACGGGTGACCGCAGGAGGAGCAGCCGGAGGAACAGGGCTCTGGGAGAAGAGAGGCCAGGTGAGGCTCTAACAGCGCTGGAGAGCAGAGGCAGAGAGGGCCACACGCAGCGGACAGACGCCTGGAGGGGGCCGCATGCAGCGGACAGACACCTCGGAGGGGCGGCACGCAGCGGACAGACACCTCGGAGGGGCGGCACGCAGCGGACAGACGCCTGGAGGGGGCCGCACGCAGCGGACAGACACCTCGAAGGGGCGGCACGTAGCGGACAGACACCTCGAAGGGGGCCGCACGCAGCGGACAGACGCCTGGAGGGGCCGCACGCAGCAGACAGATGCCTGACGGCGAATTCCTCCTGCAGCTCCAGACCACGGAAGGGACTTTGTGGGGGAACTCAAACTGGGCTTTGTGCTTTGTGTGTTCTTACACACCTGTTCTTTCCTGAAAACTCAGCAGCACCTCGTTTGAGGACGCCTGTCTGACGTAGCAGTTAAGACCCTGCTGGGATGTGTGCGCCCATTGTCAGTGCTGGGTTTCAGCCCTGGCTGCACGTGTGACCCGGCCTCCTGCTCATGTGCACCTGGGAGACGCGCGTGTGACCCGGCCTCCTGCTCGTGCGCACCTGGGAGACGCGCGTGTGACCCGGCCTCCTGCTCGTGCGCACCTGGGAGACGCGCGTGTGACCCGGCCTCCTGCTCGTGCGCACCTGGGAGACGCGCGTGTGACCCGGCCTCCTGCTCATGTGCTCCTGGGAGACGCGCGTGTGACCCGGCTTCCTTCTCAGGTGTACTTGGGAGGCAGTAGGTGCTGGCTCGGGTGGTTCAGTCCCTGCGGTCCACATGGGAGACCCAGATTGAGTTCAGGGCTCTTGACTTTGGACTGGCCCAGCCGTGGCTGTTGTGGGCAATTGGGGGATGAACCAGCGAATGGGAGATCTCTGCATGTCTCTCTGCCTTTCAAATAAATAAAGTAAAAAATTAAAACTGCATTAAAAAAAGTTCCAGATTATTGGTTCATTTTTTTTAAAGATTTATTTTATTTATTTGAAAGAGTTACAGAGAGAGGTAGAGACAGAGAGAGAGGTCTTCCATCCACTGGTTCACTCCCTAGGTGGCTACAACAGCCAGAGCTGCGCCATTCCAAAGCCAGGAGCCAGGAGCCTCCTCTAGGTCTCCCATGTGGGTGCAGGGGCCCAAGGATATGGGCCATCTTCTACTGCTTTCCCAGGCCATAGCAGAGAGCTAGACTGGAAGAGGAGCAACCAGTACTAGAACTGGCACCCATATGGGATGCTGGCACTGCAGGCCAGGGCTTTAACCCGCTGCGCCACAGTGCTGGCCCCTGGTTCATTTTTCTAGAGTTAAAAACCACATTTCTTTGGGGCCGTTTTGTTTTGTTTTTGTTTTTGTTTTTTGACAGGCAGAGTGGTCAGTGAGAGAGAGAGAGAAAGGTCTTCCTTTGCCGTTGGTTCACCCTCCAATGGCCGCCGTGGCCGGTGTGCTGTGGCCGGCGCACCACACTGATCTGAAACCAGGAGCCAGGTGCTTCTCCTGGTCTCCCATGCGGGTGCAGGGCCCAAGCACTTGGGCCATCCTTCACTGCACTCCCAGGCCACAGCAGAGAGCTGGACTGGAAGAGGAGCAACTGGGACAGAATCCAGCGCCCTGACCTGGACTAGAACCCGGGGTGCCGGTGCCGCAGGCGGAGGATTAGCCTAGTGAGCCACGGCGCCGGCCTGGGGCTCTTTTTATAAACACACTCAACAGGCTAGGAATAGAAGGAAACTATTCACCTAATAAAAATCATTTGTGAAAATCAAACAACTGATGTCATAGTCTCTGTTGAAGGACTGAAAGCTTTCTCCCTAATGTCAGGAATGGAGCAAGGATGCCTGCATTCACTTTTTTCAATGTGGTACAGAAAGTTCTAGTCAGAGCAGCTGGGCCAGGAGAAGAAATTGTGAAAGTTGTCACTGTCAAGATGGAGCCACATGTCAGATTCAAACTTGTCAGTGTCAGAATGGAGCCATGCGTCAGATTCAAACAGGATTGTGTTCGGTGTCATGGAGCTGGTAAAGCCACTGCCTGTGACGCTGGCTTCCCATAAGGGTGCTTGTTTGAGTCCAGCTGCTCCACTTCTGATCCAGCTCCCTGCTAATGCACCTGGGAAAGCAGTGGAAGACAGCCTAAGTGCCTGGGCTCCTGCTACCTGCTTGGGAGACCTGGAAGAAGCTCCTGGCTCCTGGCTCTGGCTCAGCTGTAGTCATCTGGGGAATGAACCAATGGATTAAAGATCTCTTCCTCCCTCTCCCTCCCTCTCTCTGTCTCCTCCTCTCTGTGTAACTCTGACTTTAAAGCAATCAATCTTTTTTTTTTTTTTTAAAGATTCATTTTGAAAGGTAGAGTAACGGGGCAGGGGAGATACAGAGATGTCTTCCATTCACTGGTTCACCCTGCAAATAGCTGCAATCGTTGGGGCTGGGCTGATCCAAAGCCAGGAGCCAGGAGCTTCTTCCGGGTCTCCCACGTGGGTGCAGGGGCCCAAGGACTTGGACCATCTTCTGCTACTTTCCCAGGTCACAGCAGAGAGCTGGAACGGAAATGGAGCAGCTGGGACTAGAACTGATGCCCATATGGGATGTCAGCACTGCAGGTAACAGCTTTACCTGCTGTGTCACAGTGCTGGCTCCAGTAAATAAATCTTTTTTTTTTTTTTTTTAAGATTTTATTTATTTATTTGAGAGGTAGAGTTACAGAAAGTGAGAGGAAGAGACAGAAAAGTCTTCCATCCATTGGTTCACTCCCCAAATGGCTGCAACAGGCGGAGCCCCGCCGATTCAAAGCTGGGAGCCAGGAGCTTCTTCCTGGTCTCCCATGTGGGTGCAGGGACCCAAGGACTTGGCCCATCTTCCACTGCTTTCCCAGGCCACAGCAGAGAGCTGGCTTGGAAGAGGAGCAGGCGGGACTAGAACCGGTACCCATATGGGATGCCGGTGCCGCAGGTGGAGGATTAACCTGTGCCATGGCGCTGGCCTCCCCCCGACACCCCAGTAAATAAATCTTAAAAAACAAACAAAAAACCCTCATGAGTGAGTTTGACACAGGAATACACTAAAAAGTCAGCACATAAAAACTGATGCATTCCGAGACATGAGCAGTGAGAAACCTGAGAAGGAAATGATAGACGGCATCCCGTTTGTGATAGCAGAGAATGGAGCCTTAGGAATTGACCTGAGAAGTCAGGAAGCAGAAAACTGCCCAAAGAGACGAAGAAGCAGGGAAACAAGTGGAAGGACATCCTGTGTCTGAATCGGAAGACATGTCGTCAACAGCTGCCACCACTCAGTGCGACCTGTAGATTCAGTGTTTTCTTTCAGAGTCCCAGTGACTTGTTTAGAAATAACAACGTACCTGTCTCAAATTCATGTAGAATACCAAGGGATCCCCAACAGTCAAACAGTCCTGAAGAAGACCCAAGCGGAAGGTCACTTTCTGGTTGCAGACTGAAATGATGAGAACAGTGTGGTGCCGCCATGAGGATGCGTGGACCAGTGGACGGGGCTAGAGCGCAGATGTGCTCAGGTGGCTTTTAGTGGAGGCCACGGCCACTTCGTGAGGGAGGGGCAGTCTTCACACGGTGCCAGGAAAGCGATATCCACAGGCACAAGAGTGTAGTTGGACCTTTACCTTACGAGGAGAATTGGCTCCAAGTGGATGGAAAGTCCGGACGTAAGACCTAGAGCTGTGAAGCTCTTGGAAGAAACCTGGGGCGAGAGCTCATGACTTTGCGCTCATGTTTGGTGGTGATTTCTTGAGTGTGAAGCTGAGGGCAACACAAGGAGAACTAGAAGAATCAGACGTTGTGGGAGTTTTAAGATGTGTGCATCAGAAGACACTGTCGACAGTGCAGAGGGAGCTTAGAATGAGACTGTGTGCAACCCCCCTCTCGTTACGGAGTCGTGCACAGAGCGTATGGGGAGCTCTCCAGACTCCACGATGAGGAAAAGCCTGGCTGGAAAGGGGTCAGGGATCTGAGAAGCTGGTCCCCCGGGAGGTACCCGGTGCTGGTAAGTGAGGACGTGCTCAGTGTTGCTACTCCTGGGAGACGAAGTCACAGCCGGGGGAAGACGCTCCTTCTCACGCGGAGGACGACAGTGAGTGCTGGGGCTGTGGTGCACTGTGGGAAGGGGGGATGAGAAGCTGCCGTGGAGCACTGGCGCTGCCTTGAAAAGTGAAACGCAGCATCCCTGGGTGAGCCGCACTTCCTCTGGGTGCACGCCGCAGGGTTGGAAGTGCGCCTTGGAGAGGTGTCTGTGCCACAGTCACACAAAGCAGCCAGGTGTCCACGGCTGGGAGTGTTCGGGGAGTGCCGTCTGCCCGTCCAGTGGGTGGTGGCGCCATCTCAGAACGCGAGAGTGTCCTGATGTGTGCTGCCGGCGACGAACCTGCAGGACACTGCTGAGGGAAGCAGGCGGCCGCAGAGCGCGGCCGTGGGACACCCCCTCCCCACCCCGTCCCCCGTCCCCCGACTGCAGGCGCCGAGACCCTCACAGTCAGGGAGGAGAAGGGAGGCTGCACGGAGGTTGTTGGCTGGGGGAGAGGGGAGGGGGAGTTCGCGTTTAGTGGGGACTGAGTTTGAGTGTTACGAGATGGAAGAGTTATGTGTTGGACGGTGGTGATGGCTACAGGTTGTGAATGGGTTTCAGACCACTGAAATGTGCATTTAAAAGTGGCTAACGTGGTAGACTTCATGTTTTCTGTGTTTATATTAAAAATGAACAAGATACCATTAACACTTGAGGAGAAGCTATGATGTCAGTTTTTTTTTTTTTTAAAGATTTATTTATTTGAAATGCAGAGTTACAGAGAGGCAGAGAGAGAGAGATCTTCCATCTGCTGGTTCACTCCCCAGATGGCCACAACAGCTGGAGCGGAGCCAGGAGCTTCTTCCGGGTCTCCCATGTGGGTGCTGGGCCCCAAGCACTTGGACCATCTTCTGCTGCTTTTCCAATCCATCAGCAGGAAGCTGGATTGGAAGAGGAGCAGCTGGGACTTGAACTGGCACCCATATGGGATGCTGGCACTGCAGGTGGGGCTTTACCCGCTAGGCCAGAGCGCCGGCCCCTGATGTCAGGTTTTTTGTTTGTATAAAGAGAAAAATGTGGAGTACGTGATATTCACATGTCACCCTTGAGCAGCGGCTGTGCTAATTTTGTCTGTATCATTTCAGTCTTAGTATATGTGCTGCTGAAGTGACCACTAAACTGATTTTTCAATATTTCCTCTTTAACACATTTACTACTACTTTTTTTTTTTTTTAGGATTTATTTACTTTTTTGAAAGAGTTACATGGAGAGAGGAAGAGAGAGGTCTTCCATCTGCTGGTTTGCTCCCCAAATGGCCCCAACAGCCAGGGCTGGGCCAGGCCAGAGCCAGGAGCCCAGTGCTTCTGAATCTTGCGTGGGTACAGGAGCCCGGGCACTCGGGCCACATTCTGCTGTTTCCCCGGCGCATCAGCTGGGTCGGAGGTAGAGCAACCGGGTCTCGAACTGGCGCCCATATGGGATGCCAGCACTGCAGTCATGGCTTTACCCACTGCGCCACAAGGCTGGCTCCTCACGTTCACTTTTTAAGTTAAAAATCACTTTCTTGTGGGATTGTTCAGATGTTACTGATTCATGAGAATTTTTTTTTTCAAAAACTTTTGAAAATTTATTTAAAAGGAAAGAGAGTAATAGGAAGAGACCAATGGACAGAGAGAGATTCTGCGTTCACTGCTTCCTCCCTGAAGGCCCGTAACAGCTGGGGCTGGAACAGTTCAAACCTGGGAACCAGGCGGGTGGCAGGGAATCCAGGGTGTGCGTTAGCAGGCGACTAAAACCAGAGGCAGAGCTGGAATCCTCCCCCCCCCCCCCTTCAGGCAGAGTGGACAGTGAGAGAGAGAATAGAGAGAAAGGTCCTCCTTTGCCGTTGGTTCACCCTCCAATGGCCACCGCGGCTGGTGCGCTGTGGCCGGCGCACCGCGCTGATCCGAAGGCAGGAGCCAGGTGCTTCTCCTGGTCTCCCATGGGGTGCAGGGCCCAAGGACCTGGGCCATCCTTCACTGCACTCCCTGGCTACAGCAGAGAGCTGGCCTGGAAGAGGGGCAACCAGGACAGAATCCGGTGCCCTGACCGGGACTAGAACCCGGTGTGCCGGCGCTGCAAGGCGGAGGATTAGCCTAGTGAGCCGCGGCGCTGGCCAGAGCTGGGATTCTGACCCAGGCACTCGGACTGGGAAGCTGGGGCCCACGAGGCTCCAGGTGCCCAGGCTGCCTAGTAACTCTGGTGCTTGTCTGAGGCGCTGTGGATATCGTGTTACGGTTCTGTCTTGCTGTGTGGAGCAGAGCTGGCTCCCTGTGTCCAGGCTGGACGTTCTCTAGGTCTGTGGTTGCCAGTGGGTGCAGGTTTCAGAGGTGTAGCTGTGCTCTAGGCTGTCCGTTCTCTAAGTCCCTGGTGGCTGTTTGGGTCACATGTGAGGCACAGCCTGGCCTGAACCCCAGCGGTCATAAACAGCTTTAGGTGTCTGTTTCCTAGGCTCTTCCCTGCCTGCCACCCCTAAGGTGCCTCTCCGTCCCCTGGGGCTGCCCTGCACTGGCTTACGCTTCCTGCCCCTGGCTGCATGCACCCTGTGGGCCAGGCAGTGAGAGGAGGGAGGTTCACTCCCCAGATGGCCACTGCCACAGCCTGGCCTCTGGGCTGGAGTGGGGCACGTGCAGAAGGGAACAATAAAGGGGAATGTTGTTATTTAGAGTGCATGGGCTCCCGTTTCCTGCCCCGTGAGGGAGGCCTGGGTGTTCTGGCGTGTTCTCTGGCTGGGTCGGCTAATGGCGGAGGGGGAAGATGGCCGACTGTCCTGTTTGGAGGTGCTGTGGCTGCCTGCTGCTGTCTGCCCCTCCAGGTCTCAGGTGGTGGCTCATCCGCCCCTCCAGAGCATGCGCCGTGCGTGCCCTGGGCCCTCAGAGCCATTCTGACTTTGCTTTTTATTTCTCTGACGCCCCAGACCTCGTGGGCTCAGCGTTGTCCGTGGGCTCCTGCTGCTCGCTGGCCTGTGTCTGGCAGGCACACCGGTGCCTCTGGGTGCTGCTTTCCGGGGTTCTTGGTCAGAAGAGCTTTTCCCTGAAGGAGCTGTGCTCTGCCCGAGGTCACCGGGCTTTCCTGTTGAACACCAGGCCCTTCTTGCCCCATCTCCCCCCGGCCTTTTCTCTGCACGTACCTAATGGGCCTCGTTCTGTTCACTTAGCTGACTTCTCTCCTGCAGCTGGACCGTGAGCCTGTGAGGGAGGCTGGGTGGTTACTGCCCTGTCCCACGTGTTCAGAGCAGCGTCTGTGAGGCGGGCCCGAGTGACTTGCTGAGTGCGTCAGTGAGGAGAGCGAGGCAGAGTTAGCACAAGAACGCCAACAGGACTGTTGGCCTTGACTAGAGTAGACCTCACCACGAATAGCCTGACATCAACGCATATTGGAGTTCTGCAGAGGAACAGAGCCTGTAAGGTATGAATGGAGGCGTGAGGGCAGGACGCTGTGAGATGTGTGCAGACGTGGGAGGTCAGCTGTGTCGGGAGAGCCAGGTCACGTGGTTCTGTTGGCCTGGAAGTCCTGTGGTCAGCCAAGCCGCACGGTTAGAAGCAGGACAGTAGGCGGTGAGTTCAGGCTGAGTGCGGGCCTGGGCCTGGGGGCAGCCGATGGGTAAGTTCCTGTTGGGGGCTGAAGGCCGAGTCCCAGGGTGGGAGCTGCTTCTGCATCCTGGAGTCACCAGACAGAACCGGGAGTTCTGAGATCTGGGAGCAGGACAGGGTGGGTGTCCCCACTCGTGAAGTGAGTCGGGGAGGGCGGTCTTCCCCGCGTCAGCTGATGTGAAGCTGACCTCCCCTGGGCCCCAGCCACCCCCATAAGGACGTTCTGCCGTCTGCAGCGTTGCACGGCCTGTTCCCTGGCGGCAGGACCTGCAGGACAGACGTCGGTGGCGTCCTCGTTGCTGGGAGCACGCTGTGTGTGTCACCACGGGTTTCCACCTGATGTCCTGGACGTTTTCGGTAGCAGGAGTGGAGCGCGGCGTTTTATAAAACGGTCCCTGTCGGCGGATGTCCCTGTGTGGGGCTTCCTTGGCTCTCCCTGCACCGCCCACCCTCGCCAGCGTCGCTGGGCCGCGCGCCGCAGTCACCAGGACGCAGTCTCCTGGCCGGGAACCGTTTCCGGCGGAGCCTCGCCCTGCGTGCTGTGCTGCTGGGGCTCGGGGTGCATGTGCGTCTCTGCTGTGTCTGTTGACGGCAGCTAGCGCCCGCGGGAAGGGCGAGGGCAGCAGGGCCGCCCTGGAGGAGACGTGCGGTTTAGGGTTCGTGGACACTCGGATGGCCTCTAGAGCAGGCGCTTGAACCTGCTCAGCGCTCTCCCCTGACCAGCATCCGGGACGGCTGCTCGTCTGCCAGCCGGACGGGTAGGCAGATGGGTTCTAGGGTTTTAATTTGCGTCTGTGAGTTGAACATACTTCTTTTGCTCATGGATTATTTGCATCCTCCCATGACTTCAGGAGCTCCCCCTGCACCTGGGGGTCTCGTGGCTCCGTGACAGTGGTGTCCTGAGTCTCTGTCCCTGCAGGTCGCTCTGCCAGAGGCGCTCGGGAACGGAGTACATCAGCAAATACAGGCAGCTGGAGGCGCAGGAGTTGGACAGCCGTGACCACCCAGCCGGCGGGCCAGGTAAGCAGGCGGCTCTCAGTGCTCAGGCTCGGCGGGCGAGCGGTCCCGCGCCACGTGCTGTGTTCTCACGCCTCTGAGCAGTATGCTGTTTGGGGCAAAGCAAGGGATCATACTACTGGCTAATTCTGGAATCTTGTGGGGATGCTGACTGTGTGACAGGCTGCAAATGTTCTCTTTTTTAGAAAGTTATTTATTTATTTTTACTTTCAGTATTTTTTATTGGTCATATTTCGTATAAAGTTATTGCACGGCTGGCGCCGCGGCTCACTAGGCTAATCCTCTGCCTGTGGCGCCGGCACCCCGGGTTCTAGTCCCGGTCGGGGTGCCGGATTCTGTCCTGGTTGCCCCTCTTCCAGTCCAGCTCTCTGCTGTGGCCCGGGAGTGCAGTGGAAGATGACCCAAGTGCTTGGGCCCTGCACCCGCATGGGAGACCAGGAGAAGCACCTGGCTCCTGGCTTCAGATCAGCGTGGTGCACTGGCCGCAGCAGCCACTGGGGGGGTGAACCAACGGCAAAGGAAGACCTTTCTCTCTGTCTCTCTCACTGTCCACTCTGCCTGTCAAAAAAAATTTTTTTTGTGGAAAGTCTTAGATTTATTTATTTCTCTGAAAGAGTTACACAGAGAGAAGGAAAGAGACAGAGAGAGAGAGAGAGAGAGAGAGAGAGAAAGGTCTTCATTCGCTGGTTCACTCCCCAATTGGCCACAATGTCTGGAGCTGCGCTGATCTTAAGCTGGGAGCCAGGAGCTTCCTCCAGTCTTCCCATGCAGGTGTGGGGGCCCAAGCACTTGGGTCATCTTCTACTGCTTTCCCAGGCCATAGCAGAGAGCTGGATTGGAAGTGGAGCAGCCAGGTCTTGAACTGGTAGCCATAGGGATGCTGGCACTGCAGGTGACGGCTTTACCCGCTGCGCTTCAGCACCAGCCCAAAATGTTCATTTTTGAAAATTTATAAACAGTAGAGAGTTATTTGGCTCACAGTTGTGATGGATAAGAGGTTTCCAAATGTCTACTTTCTGCATCTTAAATGTGGTTCCTAAATAGCTGTTCTTAGAAGGCTGTCTTGGCTCCTTACCTTGCTGTTAAGTAAAGCACTTAACATTTGTATTTAAAAATTAATGTGGGAGGTGTTTTTCTATGATCAATGTTAAATTCTTAAACCACGTAGAAATGTATGAACTAAAGTACGAGGTCCTTGGTAGACCCTCCCGGGGCTCCGGTGTTCCGGGTCTGGGACAGGTGGCTGTGTTCCTGGCTGGGGTCAGGCCCTGTAGCCGGGGGGCTGCCTTTGACTTCTTTTGCCTTGCGGCAGGCTGCCTGTCCCACAGTTCTGTGCTGCCGGTTCATCTGGAGGGCTCGTCCCGTGCACTGGGCGCAGGCTGAAGGGCCGAGCTGGGCTGAGACGCTGTCGCTGAGCCTCGTGAGAGTCACGGGCCGCAGTGTGCCGAGCGGGTCTGGGCGCATTTCTCTTTACTCTTGGGATTTATTAGGTTTTGTGGCAGTGTAGATTCCCCGCTCTCTCCCTTTCTTCGCAGTTCTGAGAAGTTCTGAGTGCTTATCTGTGCTCTCACTTGGATTTAGTTCTTTGTTTTTCTTCTTTGGGTCAGTACGCTGTAGCCTGGTTAATGTTTCATTTTTGTCTTTCCCTCAAGGCGGAAGCGGCCTTGAGATCCGTGCCTTCCTGTCTGTGTCCTTTCTGGGCGCAGACTGCTGGCCCCCAGTGCGTGCGGGGGCGGGTCTGAACGGCGAGTGCGCTTGAGGAGAGGGACCACCGCGTCCTGCTGGGGTCTCGGGTCTCTGTGAGGCCGTGCGGTGGCGTGTGTGCTCGGGGCTGCGGGTCAGTGTTTGCACCCGGGGCAGGCGTTGGTCGCCCAGGGGCGGCTGCTGCTTGGAAGCAGCTGGGCTGCAGCGCAGAGCACCTGTGCTGCGGCTGTGGCTTCGTCTTGCGCCTGACGCTGCCCTTTGCCGCCTCTGTCCACACATGGCACTCACCCTGGGGTTCTCGCCTGCGGTCCACTACCCCCGGTGCTTGTCAGGGACCGGATGAGACGGGGCTCCGACAGTGAAGAGCTGACAGATGTTGTCCTGTCGTCCTGCAGTGACCCAGGGAAGTTCTTTGGGGGAGAGCGTGGTGAGTGGAGGCTCACGGGGCAGAGACCAGGGTGCTGACTCGGGCTGGGGCTTCAGGAGGGTGACGGTCAAGCTTACGGCTGAACTGTGGGGTGAAGAGGGGGGCGGGTGTGGGAGTTGTGTGCAGAGACCTCGTGGTAGGAGAAGGCCTGGTGGTCTGGCATTCCAGCTGAGGAGAGGCTGCCATTGCTGGGCTGCAGGGGTGGGCGTGGGAGGCCTTGAAGGGTCACACAGGCTGGAGAAGAGCCCCTAAGAGGCCCATGTCCCAGTGCCCTCGTGGTGACAGGTGGGTTAGGGATCTGGTGGGGGCTGGGAGTCCAGGTGGACCCCTTGCAAAATGGGGCTTCTGTGAGAGGGAGCAGGGGGGCTGAGGTCGGCGTGGAGCTGTGGCCCCTGAGGCCCCGCGTTGGGGTGATGAGAGGGAGGAGCTGGGAGTCCAGGAAAGCAGGGCAGGTCTCCCCGTGGGGTCTCTGGGACTCTGGACGAGCAGCCGTGTCAGCGGGTCACTTGTCAGCCCAGCGTGACTGACTGTGGCCTCTCGCCAGAGCTGTAGGAGGGGACGTGGGTACTGGCTCAGGCACTGTGTGTGGTCCTTTGTTAGAGCAGCCCCAGGCAGCTCCTGGGCTGTGCTGTGTGGGGCCTGTGGCTGTGCCTGAGCTGCTGGTGGTCATACCTGGAGCAGTGGGAGCTGCTGAAGGCTCTGGTTTTCTTGGTGAGTTGAAAGGTGGAGGTGTCTCGTGGTGAGATTTCCATCATTTTGTGCATGGACTCGGGGGGCCAGAGAGCACAAGGGGGCCGGACAGGAGGCCCGCGTGTCCAGTGAGGCCCCTGTGCCCAGGGGGCTGTGGGGTGCAGAGCCGGTGGAGGGAGAGGGAGTGGGGCTTGGTGACACCTGGCCTGTGGAGGGTGAGGGAGGAGGCGCTGCCCCCAGGTGAAGTGCTGAAACCGGCTGGAGCACCGGCGTTGGGAGGCCAGGCTGGACGTGTGCACGTGTGCGCATGTGCGCACGTGGTGAGGGCACCAAGCTCCTCTGTCCCTGTCTCTGTTAGCTCCACACGTCTCCATTCCAGCACCATAGCTCGCAACGTGAGCATTCTGTTGTGTGCAGTCACAAAATGCTGGCACTCAGAGTACTGAGACACGTATCATTTGAGGAAGGGTTTCTAAGTAGAAATCAGAGGCTACAGATTCAGTGAATTTCCACAGGTTACCTTAGAATCACTGTTTATGGGTGTGGGAAAGCCACTTTCCGCAGGTGGAGGTGGAAGGCGTTGGCAGGGTGGGCTGCCCCAGGCTGCCCCAGGCTGCCCCAGGCTGCCCCAGGCTCCTCCAGGCTGTGGACTCCACAGTGTCCGAGCCACTCGCCAGTTGACGGTTGTCCTGTGGCAGTGCCTCCTGTGGGGTTTAAATGCCACAGTGCCAGCTCCTTGTTAATTGGGTGGAATTTTTAGTGGTGGTTTCATCTCCCTTTTTGCTTCTCTTCTGAGCCTTTAAGACAAGGGTTGGGATACTATTTTCTGCCCAGGGCCATGTGGGTATTTATAACGTCATTCACAGCCAGAGAAAATGATCAACTCAGAGATGAGCCTGCTGTAGGGTAAAGCTGCCGCCTCTGACACCGGCATCCCCTGTGGGCGCTGGTCTGTGCCCTTGTTGCTCCACTTCTTCTTCTTCTTCTTTTGTTTGTTTGAGAGGTAGAGTTATAGATAGTGAGAGGGAGAGACAGAGAGAAAGGTCCTTTCTCCATTGGTCCACTCCCCAAATGGCTGCAACGGCCAGAGCTACATCGATCCGAAGCCAGGAGCCAGGAGCCTCCTTTCAGTTCCCTACGTGGGTGCAGGGGCCCAAGCACTTGGACCATCTTCTGCTTTCCCAGGCCACAGCAGAGAGCTGGATTGGAAGAGGAGCAGCTGGGACTAGAACCGTCACCCATATGGGATGCCAGTGCCGTAGGTTGAGGCTTTAACCTGCTGTGCACAGTGCCGGCCCCCTGGTGGTTCCACTGCTGATCCAGCTCCCTGCTAATGGCTTGAGAAGAGCTGCAGAGGATGGCCCCGGAAGTGGCAGTGTGGAGTGTCTAAGAAACCACAGGGAAATGCTAATGCTCCTTCCAGTGGGGTGACTGGAGAGCACCACCACAAATGGAGGAAGTCATAGCTGATGGTCTGCTTTGGAAAATTTATTCTTTTATTAAAAAAAGATTTATTTATTTATTTGAAAGGCAGAGTTACAAAGAGGCAGAGGAAGAGAGAGCGAGCGAGCAATAGCGATAGCTCCCATCTGCTGGCTCACTCCCCAGGTGGCCTCAATGGCTGGAGCTGCGCTGATCTGAAGCCAGGAGTCAGGAGCTTTTTCCAGGTCTCCCACGTGGTTGCAGAGGCCCAAGGACTTTGGCCATCTTTTTCTGCTTTCCCAGGCCATAACAGAGAGCTGGATCGGAAGTGGAGCAGCCGGGACTTGAACCCATGTGGGATGTCAGCACTGCAGGCGGTGGCTACACTACAGTGCCGCCCTGGGAGATTTATTCTTTTAACACTTTCTGTTTCGAAAAATTTATTACTTTCATTTTATTAGAAAGGCAGAGAGAGAGAGGAGGAGGGAGGGAGGGAGAGAGAAAGAGAGAGAGAAAGAGAGGGAGACAGAGGGACAGAGGGAGGGAGGGGGTGAGAGAGCAGGAGAGGGGGGAGGGAGGTCTTCTGTCCACGAGTTCGCTCTCCCAAATGCCCACAGTAGCTGAGGCTGGGAACCAGGAAGTCCGTCTGGGTCTCCATGTGAGTGACAGGCTCCCAGCACAGGAGCCGTCGCCTGCTGCCTCCCAGCAGGGAGCTGGGTCAGAAGCAGAGCAGCTGAGACTTGGCCCAGGGCTCTGACGTGTGCAGGCATCCCAGGCGGTGACTTACTTACTGTCAGACACCTCTGAAGATTGGATTTTGCTTTCAATCTGTAGTGTAGCAATTACACTTACTTCCTGTAATTCCCAGTTTTAGGGTAAGCATCATTGCTGCTGTGAGAAGCAGTCAGGAGCCGCAGCCCCTGTGTCCCGTGTGGAGCCTGTGCTTTCTGGGGGTTTGGTTAGGTTGTCATGAAGACAGAGTTGGGGTGTAGTGAGCAGAACCAGCGGCTTTTGTGGCGTCGTTTTCCTCGGTTAATGTGAACTATTGTGGTGTTAACAGCCTAGGATGAAGACCACAGGAGACTCAGAACAGCAGATGGTGAGGTTGAGGTATTTCCCACGCCACTTTGGACTTGACTGTGTCAGATGGAGTTTGTTGATTTGCCTTAAATGATTCTTGATGTCTTTCCTTTTATGTCGTTGCTCATCCTGAGAGAGCAAGGCCACCGCGGGCGCCTGTGCTCCTTGGTTGCATCCACCCCTGGGCAGTGTGCATGGGGCAGGACTTGATGAGCGTGGCCTGCTTCAGCAGTGACCTGAAAACGTCAGGCTGTGTTGTGTTCGCGGCGTGGAGAAGGCGCAGAGGCGCAGTGCAGTCAGAGGCGCGGTGTCCTGGAGCGGCGTTCACAGCTCGCGTGGGTGAGCGGTCAGCTGCCGGCCTGGCTCAGTGGCTCTCAGCAGGACTGTCCTCCGGAAGAACCTTTGAAGCTCTGTCCCCCACTGCTTGGCTGTCCCTCCTGCTTCACCAGGGCAGTGTGGTTCCCCTCCCTCCTACGCAGTGCTCAGAGAGGCCTGGTGTGCCCAGGGAGGACCTGGGCAGCAGGGCCTGTCTCAGTGGAGAGGAGGAAGGGGAGGGGACAGGGAGGTGGCCGCAGAGAGAGCCCTGCTGGAGTGAGCAGAGCGGCTCGTGCTGGGTTGATGAGAAGCGGAAAGCTGCTCACGACCCGGGCCACGGCTCTGCTGCCGACTCAGCACTGTCGGCCCCTGGAGCTGCTTCCTGTGGGAGTTCGGAACAGATCCGCTTCCTCTGTTGGTGAATTTGTGACAAGTACTTGACTCAAATATAGGAAAGTGGCCTAAACATGTATTTATTTATGTATTTCAAAGAGTTAGAGAGAGAGGGAGAGACAAAGATCTTCCATACGCTGGTTCACTCCCCAGATGGCCACAATGGCCAGGGCTGGGCCAGACCAAAGTGAGGAGCCGGGAGCTTCATCCTGGTCTCCCATGTGAGTGCAGGGTCCCAAGCACTTGGGCCATCTTCTGCTGCTTTCCCAGGCCATTAGCAGGGAGCTGGACCAGAAGTGGAGTCACCGGGATATGAACCAGCGCCTGTGTGGGATGCTGGCATCATAGGCAGCGGCTTTACCCACTACGCCACAACACCAGCCAACATTTTCTTACCTTTGAAATAAAGCTTATTTCCTGTGAAGTTTGTAGCCATCAGTTTTGGTGATTTGTCACAGTGATGGCTGCAGGTCAGCCAGGTGCTCCCTGGAGGACGCCACGTGGGACCAGCTGGCCAGGGCACTGCGTCAAGCACCGTGAGCCGAGCAGAGGTGCCCCTTTGTGATGCCTGTGGTTCTTTTTAAGAAATGATTCGTGGGGGGTCTGGGCTGTGGCATAGTAGACTACGCCTCTGTCTGCAGCGCTGGCATCCCACACGGGCACTGGTTTGAGTCCCGGCTGCTCCTCTTCTGATCCAGCTCCCTGCTTATGGGAAAGCCGTGGAAGATGGCACGAGTTCTTGGGTTCCTGCACCTGCATGGAGACCAGGAAGAAGCTCCTGGCTCCTGGCTTTGGACCTGCTCAGCTCTGGCCATTGCAGCCGTTTGGGGTGTGACCCAGAGGATAGAAGACCTCTCTCTCTTTCTCTGTCTATAACTCTACCTGTCAAATAAACGAATCTTTAAAAAATTTTAAAATTGAAAGAGAGAGTAGGAAAGAGAGAGAGAGAAAGGGAGAGGGAGAGATCTTTCATCTGCTGGTTTACTCCCCAGATGTCTGCAACAGTCAGGAGCCTGGGACTCATTTTGGGTCTTCCAAGTCGGTGGCAGGGGCCCAAGTCCTTGGACCATCCTCTGTTGCCTTCCCAGGCACGTTGGCAAGGAGCTGGTCCAGAAGTGGGGCAGCTGGGATTCGAACCAACACTCTGAGATGGGATGCTGGCCTCACAGGAGTGGCTTGACCTGGCCACTTAGCTGCTCCTGTCCTGTAATGTGTTTTTTAAGGTTTATGTATTTGAAAGGCAGTGAGTTAGAGAGGGAGTCTCTCTCTCTCTCTGTTTCTCTCTCTCTCTCTCTCTTTCACACACACACACACACACACACACATCTTCCATCTGTTGGTTCACTTCCTAGACGGCCACCAGCAGCCAGGATTAGGAGCCAGGAATTCCATCTAGGTCTCCCCTGCTTGGCAGGGGCCTGGTCATTTGGGCCATCCTCTGCTGCCTTGCCAGGTGCATTGAGGGAGCTGACTTGGAAGTGCAGTGGTTGAGACTCAGACCCACCCGAATATGGGATTCACATGTCCCAAGCTGTAGCTTAACCAGCTGTGTCACAACGCTGGCCTCTCATGCCTGTATTTTTTTTTTTTTCCTTTGACAGGCAAAGTTAGCAGAGTTAGCAGAGTTAGGAGAGAGAGAGAGAGAGAGAGAGAGAGATCTTCCTTGAACCATGTTTTGCAGCTGGTGTGCTGCGCCGATCTGAAGCCAAGAGCCAGGTGCTTCCTCGTGGTCTCCCATGGGGTGCAGGGCCCAAGGTCCTGGGCCATCCTCCACTGCCTTCCCGGGCCACAGCAGAGAGCTGGACTGGAAGAGGAGCAATCGGGACAGAATCCGGCGCCCCAACCAGGACTAGAACCCGGGGTGCTGGTGCCACAGGCAGAGGATTAGCCTAGTGAGGCACAGCGCCGGCCTCATGCCTGTATTTCTTAAATTATATTTATTTATTGCTACTCCTAATTTGTTTTGGTAGCAAGGAATGTATACCTAACAAACTAATGCACTGAAATTTCAAGTGAAGATTTCCTTTGTAAGCGAATGCTTTAACCCCTTTAATCGGGTGATTTGTCCTGGCAGTGGTGCTGAGTTTCTGGGGCTGGTGCTGGGATGGGTGTGCCTGTGTTTGTGCTGGGCGGCTGACGGGGCTGCCCTGCTGGCAGCACTGGCCCATGCGGTGCCTGTAGGTGCGGGGCCAGCAGAGCCACGTGAGGTGTCGCTTTGTGTTGTTCATGCAAGGAAGAAACAGCGTTGCCTTCATTTGCTCCGTCTGAACCCAGGGCGAAGACCACCTTCGGCTAAGCTCAGCAACGTGACGTGCATCCCTGAGACAACTTACAAATATCCTGATCTGCCTATAAATCGATGTAAGGAAGAGGTGAGGTCGTCGTCGTCATCGCTGCCGTGACCGCAGGGGCAGGGACAGAAAGTGCTTCCAGCTCCGATCCACCCCTCAGCGGGGGCCGAGCCCGCCGGCGTCAAGAGCCGGGGGTTCAGTCCGTCTCCCACGTGGGTGGCTGGAGCCCAAGTACTCGAGCCATCCCCTGCCGCCTCCCAGGGTGTGCGTTCGCAGGGAGCTGGATCAGAAACAGAGCAGCTGGGTCTTGAACCGGCACCTGTGTGGGAAGCTGGCATCGCAGGTACTGCTTAACCTGCTGTGCCACGGTGCTGGCTCCAGTGAGTAAATCTAAAAACGCCTACATAATCTGTAAGTGAAAAAGTGGAGTGGTTTAACCGTGTGAGATTTCAAATGAAGTTTCAGAGCCAGTTGAGTGTGATAATAGTTTTGTTTTCATGTTTTTCCATAGAATTATATGTAGGTTCACAACGATTTTTTTAAAATAATAGAGAATTAGACATAGCAAGAGGCATAGAAATCCAGCTTGGGTTTTCAGAAGGAGCTGCCCCAAGGACGGATGTCAGCCTGGCCTGGCTGCCGGGGCAGGTGGCGGTCCTGGCTGCGGGTGTGGAGGGATTGGTCTTAGGTGCTGCAGCTGCTTGTAGCGTTCTTGCTTTCTGTTAGGTTTAGAGGAGTTGCCACTTGACAAAGATGAGAGGAAAATAAATTTGAAGGATTTCCTGAGTGAGAGAGGTCGTGCTTTGCGTGGTGGTGAATTCTGTGTCAACTTTGAACGAGACTTTTTCTGTATTTCAGGTTGTTTCTCTGATAGAAAGCAACTCCGTGGTGATCATACACGGTGCCACCGGCAGTGGCAAGAGCACCCAGCTCCCACAGTACATCCTGGACCATTACGTGCAGCGCTCTGCCTACTGCAACATCGTGGTTACGCAGCCACGCAAAATCGGGGCCAGCAGCATTGCCCGGTGGATTAGCAGAGAGCGCTCCTGGACGCTGGGCGGGCTGGTGGGCTATCAGGTGAGGCTGCGGGCGGCACCTGCGCTGCCGGAGCTAACCGTGGCCAGGCCTTGCAGGTGGGACCACAGCGAAGTTTTAAAAATAGTGAAACTTAATTTGCAAATACCTTTAAATTCTGCTCCAAGTTGAATCGTGGGTTTTATGGTTTTATCCTCTCATATCTCTGTGGTCTAGAAGATGTCTGTACCCCCTGGTCATACCTGAAGCGTGTCACAGGCAGCGTGGCCGGACGCACCCCTCCTCCTGTACGCTCGGGGACCTCAGCTTGAGGACTTCCCGTCTTGCTGCTCCCTTCTCACCTCAGTGTCAAGTGGACGCAGCTTTTTGGAGGTTCACTGGGAACCACTGCAGCCTGAACGGCTCCGTTCTCTTCCCCGTGACGCAGGTGGGGCTGGAGAAAATAGCAACTGAAGACACCAAGCTGCTGTACATGACCACAGGGGTCCTGCTGCAGAAGGTGGTGAGCGCCAAGAGCCTGGTGGAGTTCACGCACATCTTCATCGACGAGGTGCGTGCCCGCGCCCCCCGCGGGTCTTCACTGTGCAGGAGCACACGGTGTCGGTAGAGGGTCACGGCGTGCTTTGGGTCTGTCGCTGCTTATTCTACTCAGGAATGTCAAGCCTTCGGCCTTTTTTTTTTTTTTAAAGATTTTATTTGAAAGAGTTACACAGAGAGGGAGAGATCTTCCGTCTGTTGGTTCACTCCCCAAACGGCCGCAACGACTAATGCTGGGCCAGGTGGACGCCAGGAGCCGGAGCTTCATCTGGTCTCCCACGTGGGTGCAGGGACCCGAGCACTTGGGCCGTCTTCTGCTGGTTTCCCAGGCCATCAGCTGGGAGCTGGACTGGAACTGTGCCCAGATGAAATGCTGGCATCGCAGGTGGCAGCTTTGTCTGCTACACCAGAGTGCTGTCCCCCACCCCGCCCCCCCGTTTTCTGTTTTTATTCTTTGCTTTTGGCGCCAAAATATGGTGGGAGGTTGAGGATGATGAAAAGATTCCTTGTTGAGAACAGGGCTTGGCAGGTGACAGTCCTCAGGTCAGACTTGCTACGTGTGTGTGTGTGTGTGTGTGTGTGTATGTGTGTGTGTGTGTGTGTCTGTCTAAAGGTTGATTTATTTTGGCTGGGAGAGCGAGAGCGAGAGAGATCTCAACAGATTGATCATCTGCTGGTTTGCTTCCCAAACGACCACCACAGCTGGGGCTGGGCCAGGCTGAAGCTGGGGCTCCATCCTGGTCTGCCGCTGGTGAGGCAGGGGCCCAGCACGTCAGCAGAGAGCTGGATCGGAAGCAGAGTGGTAGGGCCTTAACCAGCACTGATGTGGGACGTGGGCCTCGCAAGCGGTGGTCTAACTGCCCTGCCACAGCTCAGGATCCAGTCTCCTGTGTATAGGCAGTTTTACTCGCGCATGCGTGTGTTGTTTGCGTCTATGTTGTTAACAGCAGGACTGAGTGGCTGCAGCCAGGACTGTACACCCTGAGACTGGAAGTGTTCACCTCTGTCCTTCAGGGAAGTCGGCCAGCCTCTGGTCTCTGTTAGCCACCACCTGACGGCAGCAAGGACTGAGTGTGTGTGGGTGCTTTCAGCCACCATGGGGAGTCTCCATCGAGTACAAGTCAGTAGAGTAAGCACAGATGATCTTCTGGCCTTCCCCTGAGACTCGGGGGACTGTCGGGCCCTGCCTTGGTCGCTGTCCCAGCTCCGTATTCTTTCCTTTGCTGTGCTTCCTGGGCTGCTCTCAGTAAGGACGGGAGACCGTTGGCTTTGTTTATATTAAAGGAAAGTTCTCTGTGGAGTGGGTGTGTGCAGCCAGCTTTCCCAGTTTTGGAAGGTTTCACCCCATGTCCTGTGTGTTGGAAGGTTGCACCCCATGTCCTGTGTTTGCCCGCATCAGCAGCTGTGTCTTGGGGGTGAGGACCAGGGGCCAATAGCTAGGATCTGTTGGAGGTTGTGAGTGGGGCTGGGGTGCTTGATGGAGGCTGAAGCCCCACTGCCTGGGAAGCCCTGACAGCCCTCATGATTTTCTTCAGAGAGAGACACAATGTTTGTGTAGAGGAAGCTTCGAGTCTACTGATGCTGTGAGATGAAAACTAGTTTTGTAATGTTTGTTTTTTGGTCTTTTTTTTTTTTTTCTGACAGGCAGAGTGGACAGTGAGAGAGAGAGACAGGGAGAAAGGTCTTCCATTACCGTTGGTTCACCCTCCAATGGCCGCTACAGCCAGCGTGCTGCGTCTGGCGCACTGCGCTGATCCAAAGCCAGCCAGGAGTCAGGTGCCTCTCCTGGTCTCCCATGCGGGTGCAGGGCCCAAGAACCTGGGCCATCCTCCACTGCACTCCCGGGCCACAGCAGAGAGCTGGACTGGAAGAGGGGCAACTGGGACAGAATCCGGCGCCCCGACTGGGACTAGAACCCAGTGTGCCGGCGCCACAGGCAGAGGATTAGCCTAGTGAGCCACGGTGCCAGACGCCTTCCTTCCTTTTGAAAGAGTTAAGAGAGAGAATGAGACACACAGAGAGATATCTTAAATCCACTGGTTTGCTCCCAGAAGGCTACAACGGCTAGCATGGGGCCAGGGCAAACCCAGGAGCTTCGTCAAGGACTTCCACATGGGTGCAGGGGCCCAAGCAGTTGGGCCATCTTCTGCTTTTCTCAGGCCATTAGCAAAGAGCTGGATCAGAAGTGGAGCAGCCGGGACATGAACTGGCACACCATATGCAACACGCCAGTGTTTCAGGTGGTGGCTTTAGCTGCTAGACCATACTTGGTCCCCACGTTTCTTTTCTCTGTACACTTCTGTAGGCACCATGCAGCTGAAAGTGAGGAAGATAGTGTGGCCTGGAGTAGGATTAGCTAAAGAAAATGTAGCAGCAGGGGCTGGTGCTGTGGTGTAGCCAGTAAGAGCCCTGCCTGCAGTGCCGGTATCCCATATGGGTGCTGGTTTGAGACCCAGCTGCTCCTCTTCTGATCCAGCTCTGCTATGGCCTGGGAAAGCAGTGGAGGATGGCCCAAGTCCCTGGGCCCCTGTCATGAAGAGGGCAGGACCAGGTGCTCAGCACTGCTCTGCCCAGATGTCATGGCTCTAAAGAGCACAGGTGATCGCCTGCTGTGAGTCCTTGGCCACCCCTTGGGGAGTCCGTTCAGCAGGAGACTGATTTGGTCCTCAGTCTCCCTGGGGCAGCCCTGGGCCTGTGGTGAGGCCCCCCTTCCCACACTCACCAGGCTGTGACGTGGGCACCCACTTTGTGTTTTGCAGGTACATGAGAGAACGGAAGAAATGGACTTCCTGCTGTTGGTGGTGCGCAAACTTTTACGAACAAACTCGCGCTTTGTGAAGGTAAATTTGATTTCACAAGTAACAGAAATGTCTGGTGCTGCTGTGTGTTTGTTTCTTCCGTGTTGACAGTGGGAAGCAGTGTCTCACCTGTGTGTGTGTACCTCCCCGTGCTGACAGTGGGAAGCAGTGTCTCACCTGTGTGTGTGTACCTCCCCGTGTTGACAGTGGGAAGCAGTGTGTCATCTGTGTGTGTGTACCTCCCCGTGCTGACAGTGGGAAGCAGTGTCTCACCTGTGTGTGTTCCTCCCCGTGCTGACAGTGGGAAGCAGTGTGTCATCTGTGTGTGTGTTCCTCCCTGTGTTAACAGACAGTGGGAAGCAGTGTCTCACCTGTGTGTGTGTACCTCCCCGTGCTGACAGTGGGAAGCAGTGTCTCATCTGTGTGTGTGTACCTCCCCGTGCTGACAGTGGGAAGCAGTGTCTCACCTGTGTGTGTTCCTCCCTGTGTTGACACTGGGAAGCAGTGTCTCACCTGTGTGTGTGTTCCTCCCTGTGTTAACAGACAGTGGGAAGCAGTGTGTCATCTGTGTGTGTGTACCTCCCCGTGCTGACAGTGGGAAGCAGTGTCTCACCTGTGTGTGTACCTCCCCATGTTGACAGTGGGAAGCAGTGTCTCATCTGTGTGTGTGTACCTCCCCGCGCTGACAGTGGGAAGCAGTGTCTCACCTGTGTGTGTTCCTCCCCGTGCTGACAGTGGGAAGCAGTGTCTCACCTGTGTGTGTGTACCTCCCCGTGTTGACAGTGGGAAGCAGTGTCTCATCTGTGTGTGTGTACCTCCCCGCGCTGACAGTGGGAAGCAGTGTCTCACCTGTGTGTGTGTTCCTCTCCGTGTTAACAGACAGTGGGAAGCAGTGTCTCACCTGTGTGTGTGTTCCTCCCCGTGTTGACAGTGGGAAGCAGTGTGTCATCTGTGTGTGTGTTCCTCCCCGTGCTGACAGTGGGAAGCAGTGTCTCTTCTGAGAAGCAGGCCAAGTAAAGGGTTTTTCTGATGGTCAAAGGAGGGATGCTTTCTGGTTGTTGTGCTACAATCGAGGTTTTCAAAGTCTTCTTTGTTAAAAGACTTACTTTACTTATTTGAAAGGCAGAGTTAGAGATTTCTTCCATCCACTGGTTTACTCCCCACGTGTCTGCACAAGCTAGGGCTGGGCCAGGCTGAAGCCAGGAGCCTGGAACTCCATGGGGGTCTCCCGGGTGGGTGCAGGGGCCCAAGCGCTCAGACCATCTTCAGCTGCTTTCTCAGGCCACAGCAGGGAGCGGAGTCGGAAGTGAGCAGCGATTCCAGGCGGTGCTCACGTGGGTCGCTGGCATTGCATCGGTGGCTCCGCCGCTGGGCTGCGGTGCGGCCCTGCTGCACTGAGTTCCGGCGTTCTCTCCAGGCTGCAGAAGGTGGTCTGACTGTAGTAGAATTCTGGCTGCGGGAGCCTGGCTTCTGGTTTCAAGATGTGTGAATGAATCTGCAGTCCGTGTTTTAGAAGTGCCTCCAAGCATCCTGGTGTTGGAGGACAGCACGTGCTCTGCTGTAGTAATGATGTCAGCGGGGCCGCAGCGCCAGCTGCAGTAAGAAGCTGTAACGCATCGATGACTTACTGAACAATGTAGGAGGCAGCACCTTGTCTAAACCTGAAATCTGTGTGGTGGGGCCAGGGTGTAGCATAGTGGGTTAAGCCACCACCATGACACCAGCATGCCCTATGGGTGCCAGTTCAAATCCCAGCTTCTCCACTTCCAGTCCAGCTCCCTGATAACGCACCTAGGAGAGCAAGCGAAGATGACCTGAGTGCTCGAACCTCTGTCCCCACGTGAGAGGCCCCGATGAAGCTCCTGGCTTCTGCCGGCCTAACCCTGGCAGTTGCGGCCACCCGGGGGTGAACCAGCAGATGGAAGATACCGCCCCTTCCCCACTCTCTCCCCCTGACCTTGTAACTTTGCATTTCAAATAAATAAATCTTTAAAAACTCATATGATACTTCTAGTTGTGTCAAATAATCTGAAATCAGGATCCAGATTGTGAAAACTTTAAAAACTCCGAATATGTGCATTTATTGTCTTCTGAGCAAATGTTGCTGTCAGAGGACTGAGACACAGGACAGGAGAGCTGCATGGGACACCCCGCCCTCTGCTCAGACACAGGACAGGAGAGCTGCATGGGACACCCCACCCTCTGCCCAGACACAGGACAGGAGAGCTGGATGGGACACCCCACCCGCTGCACCCAGACACAGGACAGGAGAGCTGGATGGGACACCCCGCCCTCTGCCCAGACACAGGACAGGAGAGCTGCATGGGACACCCCGCCCTCTGCTCAGACACAGGACAGGAGAGCTGGATGGGACACCCCGCCCTCTGCCCAGACACAGGACAGGAGAGCTGCATGGGACACCCCGCCCTCTGCCCAGACACAGGACAGGAGAGCTGCATGGGACACCCCGCCCTCTGCTCAGACACAGGACAGGGGAGCTGGATGGGACACCCCACCCACTGCACCCAGACACAGGACAGGAGAGCTGGATGGGACACCCCGCCCTCTGCTCAGACACAGGACAGGAGAGCTGGATGGGACACCCCACCCTCTGCTCAGACACAGGACAGGAGAGCTGCATGGGACACCCCACCCTCTGCCCAGACACAGGACAGGAGAGCTGGATGGGACACCCCGCCCTCTGCTCAGACACAGGACAGGAGAGCTGGATGGGACACCCCACCCTCTGCTCAGACACAGGACAGGAGAGCTGCATGGGACACCCCACCCTCTGCCCAGACACAGGACAGGAGAGCTGGATGGGACACCCCGCCCTCTGCTCAGACACAGGACAGGAGAGCTGGATGGACACCCCACCCTCTGCTCAGACACAGGACAGGAGAGCTGCATGGGACACCCCACCCTCTGCTCAGACACAGGACAGGAGAGCTGGATGGGACACCCCGCCCTCTGCCCAGACACAGGACAGGAGAGCTGCATGGGACACCCCGCCCTCTGCTCAGACACAGGACAGGAGAGCTGGATGGGACACCCTGCCCTTTGCACCCAGACACAGGACAGGAGAGCTGGATGGGACACCCCACCCTCTGCTCAGACACAGGACAGGAGAGCTGCATGGGACACCCCACCCTCTGCTCAGACACAGGACAGGAGAGCTGGATGGGACACCCCGCCCTCTGCTCAGACACAGGACAGGAGAGCTGGATGGGACACCCCACCCTCTGCCCAGACACAGGACAGGAGAGCTGGATGGGACACCCCGCCCTCTGCCCAGACACAGGACAGGAGAGCTGGATGGGACACCCCGCCCTTTGCACCCAGACACAGGACAGGAGAGCTGGATGGGACACCCCACCCGCTGCACCCAGACCTGCCAGGTCCCTGCTTCCTCGCCGTGGTCCTAATCCACCCCACCTGTGCCCTTGGCCTCCAGCAGGGGTCTTGGCAGGAGAGCCTCAGGGCTTCCGGAAGAGGCCTTGGGCTGCTGGGGCAGTGCGGAGTCTTGTTTGCTTCTTGTGTGGACACTGTGTTTGGCCAAGCAAAAGCCTTCCCGTGCCTTGTGATAGTCCAAGGCCACACTGTTCCTGGAGTGTCTCTTCATCTGGGTGGCTGCTGAGTGTCTTCTAGCCTCAGGTTTCTTCTCAGAGTTCGGTCAATCCAGCTGTATCTTTTGTGATTCATGTCACAGGGAAAAAGATGCCTCGTTTACCCAGTCAGTGCCCTGATCTGTTCCTCTCACTGCCGGGTCAGCAGCCAGCCAGCCAGAGCTTGTCTGCACCTGAGCACGTGGAGACTGTGGGTCCGGGTGGGGCGTGCTCTGCTGTGCGGCCACCTTCCCCAGGTGCGCTGGCTGAGCTGTGGCCGCTGCCCCTGGTACTCATGGCCCAGTGTTACAAGGCTGTCATACAAGTCTTGGGGCCTCTGTCATCCCAGTGCCTATAGCTGGTTCCTCTGGGCTCCTGTCCAGCTATTGTCTTGGGACTTTCCCAGGTTCTCGGTTAGGGACAGGCTTCAGGGATCTCTTGCCGCCCCTTCGCGGTTAACCCCCTCATTTTTCTAGAACATGTCATCTAGTGACTTACTCTTTTTTTAAAAAAAAATTATTTATTTGAGAGGCAAAGTTACAGAGAGGAGAGTCAGAAAAAGAGAGAGAGAGAGGTTTTCTATCCGCTGGTTCACTCCCCAAACGGCTGCAACGGCAGGAGCTGGGCCTATCTGAAGCCAGGAGCTTCTGGGTCTCCTGCGTGAGTGCAGGGGCCCAAGGACTTGGGCCATCTTCCACTGCTTTCCCAGACCACAGCAGAGACCTGGATGGGAAATGAGCAGCCAGGACTGGAACTGGCGCCCATATGGCATGTCGGCACTGCAGGCAGAGGTTTTACCTGCCACGCCGCAGTGCCAGCCTCATGACTTCCTCCTTTTAAAAATTAATTTCTGGATGCAAAGTTTCCTTTTTTTTTTTTTTTTTTTTTTTTGGACAGGCAGAGTGGACAGAGAGAGACAGAGAGAAAGGTCTTCCTTTGCCGTTGGTTCAGCCTCCAATGGCCGCCGCGGCCAGCACGCTGCTGATCCGAAGCCAGGAGCCAGGGGCTTCTCCTGGTCTCCCATGGGGTGCAGGAAAGTTTCCTTTTAAGTTTTATTTATAGAATTTTTCTTTAAGGAAAGCTACAGAGAGCTCTCCTGTCTGCCGGCTCACTCCCCAAATGCTCATGATTGTTGGGGTGGAGCGGGCTGAAGCCAGAAGCCAGGAACTCAGTCCAGGCCTCCTGCGTGGCGGCAGGGACCCAGCTGCTCAGGCCGTCCCCTGCCGCCGCCCAGGCCTGCTCAGCAGGAGGCTGAAGTAGGGTGGAGCCGGCAGTGGAGCCCAAGTGTTTCAGCAGGGGTACAGGTGTCTCAGGTAACACCTTGACTGCTTCACCAACCCTGCCCCAGTCCCCTTTAGATAAACGGTTACAGCAGCTTTCACGGAGCATGGGAGCTGTCACTTGATAAAATAACTGAAAGAAAGGAAAATTTAGAGTGCAAGTGTTCTCCATGCTGCAGCACTTTATATTATGCTAGAGACGGATCTGATTGAAGGTCTGGGAAGTTGCTGGGGACGGGCCGCCTCTCGGCCCCAGCCCCAGCCCCCGCCTGGCTGTCTCCGCCGCAGGTGGTCCTGATGTCTGCCACCATCAACTGCCAGGAGTTCGCGGACTACTTCGCCGTGCCGGTGCAGAACAAGATGAAGCCCGCCTACGTGTTCGAAGTGGGAGGCCAGCCCCACGCCATCGAGGAGTACTACCTGAACGACCTGGGGCACATTCATCGTGGCGGGGTGCGTTGGAAGCCCTGCTGCTTTTCCGGTGAAGGTGCTTGTGTGATCAAACCGCCTTCGTCCCTTGACGAAGACCCTGGGAGAACGCAGAGCAGAGAGGTGGGAGGGCCCAGGCGTGGGGAAGGGGAAGCAGAGGGGGGCTCCTGGGTCCTCCTGATCGCGGCCGGAAGCGCCTCCTCGCTGAGCCCCGGGCTGCCGGGCTGCCGCACACCTTGCGGTGTTGAAGACACGGACAGCAGGCTTCGCTCCGTGCCAGGCGCCGATGCAGCTGGGGGTGGAGGGGCTCTGTTTCCCCACTGCCTGGGTTCACGCGCCTGCAGACGTGCAGCACCGGGGCCGTCTGTCAGGGCTCAGAAACGGTCGATGGCACCGTGTGTTTCTGCTGTGTTCGCTCTGTGTGCTCTGCCCAGGAGCCCCCGGGACACCGTGTACCGTCTCCCCGGCTCCTCGGGCTGTGACTGTTTCCAGGGCTCCTCACGGGACAGCCCTTGGGGGAGTGTGCTCGTGTTCTGTAGGCGCCCTGTGCTTTCTCGTGGTTGTGGGAGGAGGGCTACAGGGGTGCGGTGCTCCCGCGCCCCGCGGTGCAGACGCCACCTCAGCAGCACCTGTCCCTGGGGGCTGACCTCGAAGTGGCCTGGGGCGTGTGTTCCAGCCTCCCTTCCATTCTGTCCGTGTGAAAGTCTGGAACAAGTGGGACGGGAAGCCCCTGTTCGCGCTGGGAGGAAGGAGCCCGGAGATGAGCAGCGTGCGTTTCCTGGCCGTTTCGGGAGTGTGCAAGTGCTATGCTGTACTCGTCCCCTCTGCAGCTGGCCCTGGCCGTGGTCCTGTGGGCAGTTACTCTGTTGCGTGTCAGCGCCAGTGCTCACCAACAGACACACAGCCTTGTGGATGTGCTCAGGAGCTGGGGCGGGCCTGGCCATCGTTCCCTTGGGACGGCCAGGCCCTGGCTTCGGGGAGCCTGGGCTGCAGGGCTGCCTGCTGGCGTCTGGTAGAGCTCTCAGGGAATGGATGGCAAGACTCAGCCGCCCTGGGTCTGTGGATTCCGCGGGGCCTTCTCTGCAGGTGTCCTTTGGCCCGCCACGCTGTCTGCTGTCACGGGCCAGCTCCAGGCCTCACAGCCCGATTCATCCCTGTGTGCCTTAACGTTGCCCCTCTCAACCTCTGTCATCTTCAGAAACACCCCCTGAGGCCCCGCAAATGCCTGCGGTGGCCAGGGCTGGGCCAGGCTGAAGCCAGGAGCCGGGAGCTCACCCCAGGTCTCCCATGGGGGTGGCAGGGACGTAGGCACTTGGGCCATGACTGCGCATCCAAGGATCTGCATTAGCTGGAGCTGGGAACTGAGCCTGGGTGCTCTTTTCATCTTTTTTTGACTGACAGAAATATCCTTAGAAGCACATGTAATGTACACGCGTGCTATAGTGAACTCGTGAAGTCAGCATCGATGGCCCCAGCCCCGGTCCAGACGCAGAGCCCCCACCTCTCGCTCACTGCGGTCATTCGCGCACTGCTCGCCCCTCCCCGCTTACAGCACAGCTGCGTCCTGCTGCGGTCTCGTGGTTTGGACTCTGAGCCCTGGACGTGGAAGCCCAGCTGCCCCCACCCCTGCAGTGCCCATCCTCCACCTGCGGCAGTCCTGGACCCGCTGGCTGGGCTGGGCACAGGTCCTTGGGGCCAGTGTGCGGGGTCCCAGGGCCCCGGCACGGCCCCCGCTGGCTCTTCTCTCCTGGGAATCAGGTGCTCCCTCTGTGCTGCCGCCCTGCCCACCGTGTGTGTGAGGGCCCCGTCAGACACCGGGCCTTGGTGTGCGCTGGGCTCCAGGGAGCACGGCCCTGCCTCTCCTGTTTCTTTCTAGTCCTGGCGGGGGTGCCCTGCTCCAGCGGGTGGGGGCCGGTGCTGTGGCACCTCCTGCATCTCCTGTGCTGAGCCAGCTCGGAGGACGCAGGGCTGCATTTGGCATCTCTCGAGTGGGTTTAGTTCTGTGGAAGTACGTGTGTGGAAAGGCTGATAGATGGGCTTGGGTGCCACTCTTGGTGTTTGTGGGACATCCAGCCATTTTAAATTGTTGTGCAGTTGTGCTATCATAAATCTGGTTGTAGTGTGCGTAAAGTAGGAAGTCACGTGCGGTAGAAGCCGCGTGTCAGACCTGCGTCTTCAGGATCCTGATAGCAGCTGTCAGCTGTCCCCCAGGAAGCGGTGGCTGTGCAGTGGCGAGGCGTGGCGTCATCCACTCCAGGTCACAGTGGGAATGAGCTTGCGTGCATGAGTGAGGTTTGATGACTTGAGGGTCCTTCCTGACGTGTCCTTCGTAAAGTCAAATGCAGTGGCTTGCACGTGGCAGTTGGTTGTTGTTTTTCAACAAAAAGCCTTAAAAATAACCTGGTCTGGCTGTGATAGAGATTGTGTGGACGTGACGAGGTGGACATAACGGTGGGCCTTGTAGAGACCTAGCTGGAGTTGACCGGTCTTTGTACCCTGCCTGGGTGCTGTGGACGTGCCCGAGGGGGCACATCTGGCGCCCAGGGTCGGTGTGGCTTGCTTTCTGCACAGTTAAAGCAGCTTGGCGAGTTCTGGTGGACAGCCCCGTGGTGTGACTGGCAGCGTGGACGTGACCTTGCCTCCCCCCCACTCCCACACGTGATGGTGCTGGGCACAGAAACTCCACCTGGTATCAGTGCTGGGGAGACTTCTCTGCCACCGAGACTGTCTTCCTGGGCCGGTGCTGTGGCTAGAGGGTGAGGCCACCACCTGCAGTGCCGCATCCCATATGGGCACCGGTTTGAGTCCCGGCTGCTCCACTTCCCATCCAGCTCTCTGCTGTGGCCTTGGAAAGCAGTGGAGGATGGCCCAAGTGCTTGGACCCCTGCACCCACGTGGGAGACCCGGATGAAGCTCCTGGCTTCAGGTCGACTTAGTTCTGGCTGTTGCGGCCAATTGGGGAGTGAGCCAGCAGATGGAAGTCAGTGTCTCTGTCTCTGTCTCTCTCCCTCCACCCCTCCCTCTCTCTGCTTCTGAATCTGTCTCTGCCGCTCTGTAACTCTGCCTTTCAAATAAATAAATAAATCGAAAACAAAAAACAAACCAGCCAGCCTCGCTGCCCAGGAGCCGGCCTCGCTGTCCAGGAGCCGGCCTCGCTGCCCAGGAGCCGGCCTCGCTGCCCAGGAGCCGGCCTCGCCGTCCAGGAGCCGGCCTCGCCGTCCAGGAGCCGGCCTCGCCATCCAGGAGCTGGCCTTCCTGTCCAGGAGCCGGCCTTGCCGTCCAGGAGCCGGCCTTCCTGTCCAGGAGCCGGCCTTGCCGTCCAGGAGCCGGCCTTGCTGTCCAGGAGCCGGCCTTGCCATCCAGGAGCCGGCCTTGCCATCCAGGAGCCGGCCTTCCTGTCCAGGAGCCGGCCTCGCCGTCCAGGAGCCGGCCTTGCCGTCCAGGAGCCGGCCTTCCTGTCCAGGAGCCGGCCTTGCCGTCCAGGAGCCGGCCTTCCTGTCCAGGAGCCGGCCTTGCCGTCCAGGAGCTGGCCTTCCTGTCCAGGAGCCGGCCTTGCCGTCCAGGAGCCGGCCTTCCTGTCCAGGAGCCGGCCTTGCCGTCCAGGAGCCGGCCTTGCCATCCAGGAGCCGGCCTTGCCATCCAGGAGCCGGCCTTCCTGTCCAGGAGCCGGCCTCGCTGCCCAGGAGCCGGCCTCGCTGCCCAGGAGCCGGCCTCGCCGTCCAGGAGCCGGCCTCGCCGTCCAGGAGCCGGCCTTGCCATCCAGGAGCTGGCCTTCCTGTCCAGGAGCCGGCCTTGCCGTCCAGGAGCCGGCCTTGCCGTCCAGGAGCCGGCCTTGCTGTCCAGGAGCCGGCCTTGCCGTCCAGGAGCCGGCCTTCCTGTCCAGGAGCCGGCCTTCCTGTCCAGGAGCCGGCCTTGCCGTCCAGGAGCCGGCCTTGCCGTCCAGGAGCCGGCCTTGCTGTCCAGGAGCCGGCCTCGCTGTGCGCCAGGACGTGCCCCTTGTGTCAGCTCTGTGCGTGCGTCCTTGCTGCAGTGACAGGGGCTGCGCTTGAGTCCTTTAATTTCTAGAAAAATGTTTGTAAAGATTAATTTTTAAAAGAAAGAGATAGAAATAGACCAACCTTCCATCGCGTGGCTCACTCCCCGAATGGCCACAGTGGCCGGAGCTGGGCCAAGCCAAAGCCAAGAGCCAGGAGCTTCATCCGGTCTTCCCTGTGGGTGCAGGGGCCCGAGCACTAGGGCCGTCCTCCGCTGCTCTCCCAGGTGCACCAGCAGGAGCTGGATGGGAAGAGGAGCAGCAGGGGCCACAGCTGTGCCTGTGTGAGTTGCTGTCCCTGCAGGCGGAGGCCACGGGGTTTCCTCTGAGCCTGACTTTGTCTCCTTCTTTGTTTACTCTGTTTAGCTTTCTGCTCATCTCCTGGAGGAACCGGTGATAACCAAGGATATCTATGAAGTGGCCGTCTCCCTGATTCAGATGTTTGATGACTTGGATATGAAGGAGAACAGGTGAGAGACACTCTAGCTGGTGACGGACTGAGCTTTGCTGTATGGGACTTTATTTATTTGTTTTAAATATTTATTTATTTGAAAAGCAGAGTTACAGAGGGCAGAGGCAGAGAGAGAGAGAGAGGTCTTCCATCTGTTGGTTCACTCCCCAGATGGCTGCAATAACTGGAGTTGTGCTGATCCAAAGCCAGGAGCCTGGAGCTTCCTCTGGGTCTCCTATGTGGGTGCTGAGGCCCAAAGACTTGGGCCATCTTCTGTTGCTTTCCCAGGCCATAGCAGAGAGCTGGATCAGAAGTGGAGCAGCCAGGACTCGAACCGGCACCCATATATGGGATGCTGGCACTGCAGGTGGAAGATTTACCCACTGCGCCACAGCACCAGCCCCTGTATGTGACTTTAACAATTCACTCTTCATTTTGAAACTTTCTGAGGTTTTTAAAATATTAAGACAGAACTGTAGATAATTTTTCAGTAGTCAATCTGTATATTTTAAACTCAAGTTAGTACCTTGGAAAATTTTTACTGGAAAAAAATTTTAAAAGATTTTATTTATTTATTGAAAGGCAGAGTTACAGAGAGGTAGAAGCAGAGACACAGAGGGAGAGGTCATCCATCCGCTGGTTCACTCCCCAAATGGCCACAGTGGTTGGAGTTGGGCCAGTCCAAAACCAGGAGCCAGGAGCTTCATCCGGGTCTTCCATGTGGGTGCAGGGGCCCAAGCACTTGGGCATCTTCTCCTGCTTTCCCAGGCCACAACAGAGAGCTGGATGGGAAGTGGAGCAGCCGGGCCACAAAGCAGCACCCGTATGGGATGCTGGCACCACAGGCAGAGGCTCAGCCCACACTGTCACAGCACCAGCACCTTCAGTGTTTTCTCCTGGTTGTTGGCTTTCACACCTGCAGCATTTAGTGCCTCCTGGAGGACTGATGGAATAACCGGGCCTGTGGGATGTGTCGTCTTTCTCAGCCAGCAGCTCCTGGTGTCAGGAAGACCTGTAAACCTCACTGGGCTGGTGCCCCTGGCTGGAGGCTGTGCCGTCGGGGAGCTGTGGAGGTGGAAAGGCGTGGCCCGTGGTCTGTGTCCTCTGGGCAGCCCTGCCGCAGAAGGCACCTGTTCCCAGATCTGGGACATGTGTCTGTCACCGTCAGGATGGACTCGGCCAGCCCTCAGCTGGGTGGGCTGCTTCCTCGGGCCGTACCTGGGCCTGCTGTTGGCAGGTTCAAGATTAGCCCGGGTGGAGGAAGCTCCCTCCTGTGGAGTCTGCGTACACCGTCACCACTGCCACGCTGGCCGCTGCGACGAGCAGCGCCTGTGGGGCGGGAGGAGTGGCCTGGCGTCCGCAGTGGTGCCTGTGGCGGGCAGGACCTCGTCGCACCCAGCTGCCTGCCTGTCAGGTCTCCTCCTCGTCGGTAGTCCTGTCCTGTCATTTCCAAGTCCTTGGCCAGCCTGCTAGCCTGTCTGTTGATCAGGGTGGACCGACCCCATTCCTGTGCCCTTCACATGAAGGGGCCCCAGATGCACGCTCAGGGGGCTTTCTCCTTCCCGCCGTCTGGAAGCGCTGCCTCTGGTCGGGCGGAGGTGTGGTGGTCGCAGCCAGGACCACCAGGCAGGAGCCTGGCTGCTGTTGGCCCCTCGCCTCCTTGCCCTTCTTGGCCGTACTGTCCCCAGGTACAGCCTGGCCTGCGGGCTCCTGCTCCCGCCTGACTGCCCCCAGCTGCCCTGCTGGCTCCTCCAGGAGCCTTCCCAGCCTTCCTTTCTAGGGGTGTGGCGTGCGCCTGCCCTGTTTCCTGCCCCCTCGCTGTGGTACTGGGGCGCCTTGCTGAGTGCTTGGTCCTGTCTGTGTCTCCAGCTAGGATGTCCTCTCCAAAGAGCAGGGCCCTTGCTCTTGTTCCTGCCGTGCCCCGGCGCAGTGAGGGGCCCTGACCCCGAGGACAGGCGTGCAGGCAGGAGGAGGCAGAGGACGACGTGTGGTGCTGGACCGATAGTTTGGGCTCCTTGGAGTTGAAGTCTGCTGAGTCATGTCCCATGTTCCCTGGGTGGAGGCAGGGTCCCAGCAGCTGAGTGCAAGGAGAGCTTTGGCGCACAGCGCGTCAGGGGCCGTGTGTCTCTGGCTCTCCTGCGCGGGGACCTTGGGGATTGCCTGGTGTTTGGCTCCCACTGGACTGCCTGTGAGAGGCTTTTACGACCCAAAGCCTATGCTGTTGGGGTTCTAGAAAAGGAGTGGCTATCATAGCTTTGACTTATGTTTGTGCACGTCGTGTTTCCAACAGGAACAAGACCTGGTCGGGCGCCCAGTTTGTGTCGGAACGGAGCAGCGTGCTGGTCTTCCTGCCAGGTGGGCGTGCTGTGTGTGTGGCTGGCACCTCCACCACAAGTAGCGTGTGCTCAGGATGTGAGTCACGGAGCCGCAGTGTGCCCCACTGTGGCCTTGGTGGGCACGTGGCTCTTGGAAGGCGGTCCTGCCACCTTCAGGCTTCCAGTGCAGTGATGAGTTCATTAAACCTGCAGTCGTGTGCAGGGACTGCCTGGGCCTGCACTTGACCGTGACGGTGACACGCTGCAGGCCTGAGCCACGGTTTCTGTCCTGCTGTAGTTAGAGTGGGCTTGCTTTATGTGCCTGTCCCCATAAGGACCACGTGACCACGGTGGGCGTGGCTCTCTCCCCCTTATTGTCTAAGAGGGAGAGGGGAGAACTCGCACCCGCTGCTTTCCCCACCCAGTGCTGTGATCACAGGGCCGGGCTGGGCCAGGCCGGGAGCTGGAACCTCGGTCCAGTTTCCCACCGGGAGGTGGGATCCAGCCGCTCGAGCCATCACCTGCTGCCTCCAGGTGCGTGTAAGTTACTCAGCGCACACCCAGAGACAGCGCTGGTGTTGGAAGGGAAATGTGGGGGAATAGGAGGGTCCTCATTTCAGGTTCGCACGAGGCAGGGCCACGTGTGTTCTTACAGGTAGGCGGAGGTAAAGTCGGATCAGGAGGGCAGGTGGGGCCTTCCTGGGAAGACGTCATTCTGTGGAAAGGCTGGTTTTAGCGGCGACTGCACGTGTTTCCTGCCTCCCCTTTTGTCCTCTAGGGCTGGGGGAGATAAACTACATGCACGAGCTCCTCACAAACATGGTTCACAGAAGGTGGGTCTGACGCGCCGCCGTGCTGGCCTCCCCACCGCGGCGCGGCGGTCGCCTCCCTGGCGGCCGCGGGGCTCACTGCTCTCGGGCGTCCCAGGCTGCAGGTGTACCCGCTGCACTCAAGCGTGACCCTGGAGGAGCAGAACAACGTGTTTCTGAGCCCAGTCCCCGGGTATCGGAAGGTAGGCGGCGGCGGCGGTGGCGGCGGTGAGCACCGGGCAGTTTCTGTAGACTCGGCCCGTGCAGAACCCTGCCGTGAGCCTGTCTCTGGTGCACTTGCCTGGTGGACCAGGTACATAACTCAGTCTTAAATCCATGTGCTTCTTAAAAATTTGAAAGGCAGAGTTACAGAGAGAGAGAGAGATCTTCCTTTTGCCGGTCTGCTGCCCAAGTGGCCGCAACAGCCAGGCCAGGCCAGGCCAGAGCCAGGAGCTTCCTCTGGGTCTCTGACACGGGTGCAGCCGTCTTCCCATGGCTTACCACATGCGTCAGCAGGGAGCTGGATGGGAAGTGAACCGGTGCACACAAGGGATGCCGGCAGCCCAGGTGGCAGCTTTGCCTACTATACCACAGCGCCAGCCCCTCAGGTGGCTTTTATAAAACTAAGATTCCAAAATTTTTCTCAATTCAAGGCATTGTTGGTAGTGGGTTTGGTGCCTTTTAGTTCTTGTTGGCATGTCTCAAGCTCCGAGACTGCCTGGTGTCCCTGGTGTGTGTCTGGCAGCTTTGCCGGGAGCCAGGGTCTCGGTCTGTCTTGGGAGGGCTTCTGTGATCCAGTGGGTGTGAGCAATGGAGTCGTCTTCTCGTGGCCCTTCCAGAGCTGCAGGAGACGACCTGGGCTGCGCGCCTGAGCCCAGGCCCCTCGACTCTGCGAGGGCAGGCCAGGCCTCGTGTTCTTAGGATCACAGCCCTCCCTCGGGGTCAGCCTGGCCACGTGCTTTGCTCCTGGGAATGGCAGCTTCCCCCACGCCCCTAGGGATCAGGAGGTCCTCTCTGCCCATGTCTGGCCTGCTGCTTGTGGGCCCTGCCACGTGCCTGTGGCTGCTTCTCCATGCCCCAGGGGCTCCTTGACCAACTGGGACCTGCCAAATAGGAAATGGCGAATCCAGAATCTGAGCTCAGTCTTACATGAAGAAGCTTTTAAGTAATTGTTGAACTTGGCCTAACGAAGCCTGAAGATCAGAAAGAACCTTAGCCGCCTTCCTCGTTTGTCTGGCAGATCATTCTGTCCACCAACATCGCGGAGAGCTCCGTCACGGTGCCAGACGTCAAGTACGGTAGGCGGCGTTCCGCGTGCCTTTGCCACCTCTGCAGGGCGCTCCCTGCCTCTCAGCTCTCCTGGTTGATGAGACTTTCTAGAAAAGTCGGCTCACCAGTGTCGCCTTATCTTCCAGTTCACTGCCCCCAGCACGCTGCTTCTCACTTGGGGTTTCTTCTGGCCCAGGCCACTGTGTTCCTGAGGAAGCTAGAGGGGACCACGCGCCCTGTGGGCAGGCTGTGCGTCACCTGGTCCTTGCTCACCTGGGAAGCGGCCACCCTTGCATTTGTTGCATTGTTAGCTTGTGTCTGAGAGCCTGGCACACGGTGGGCACTGCTCTTGGTGCTGGGCACTGCTGTGAGACCAAGTGGCTGTTCCCACGGTCGCCACCCGCTGAGGGGGACAGGACTGGCAGGTGACTGCTAGCGTTTCAGGTTTTAGGCGGAGGTGAAGTTACGTAGGAACAGAAGTAAGGTTGCAGATACATAGAAGAAGCAGGCTTGGGTGCAGCTGGGGCACAGTGGCAGGTCTGCGGGGCGGCGGGAGGCATGGCCTGGGCTGTGCATGCCGGGTGCTGCTTGCTGGCAGCCTTTGCCCCTGCCTGGCGTCGTGCTGGCTGTGGGGGACGGCAGCCGTCAGGACAGACAAGCAGCAAGGTAAATGCTGGGGAGTGTGCAGAGAGTGGTGGCTGGGGCGGCTTCTCCTGCGGGCGGGGTTTGCTCCAGTCGGGTCCTGAAGGGAACTGGATGGGACGCGGTGTTTTGTGCAGAAAAACAGGGGCCCCATGCCAAGAGCGGGTGTGGTGACGTCAGCAGAGAGCAGGGTGGCAGGGAGCTGGACCCAAGGTGGGCGCTGGCCCGGAGCTGAGGTCCTGGGACGCCCAGGGCTGTTCAGGGCCCCGTGGAGCCAGTGGCGAGGTTGGAGAGCCTGGTCTGAGGCCCCTCTCCTGGGACATGGAGAGAGGGTGGGCAGCAGGCAGGGCAGGCTCTGAAGTGAAGGCAGTGGGCGTTTGCTGCTCTTGGGAGACTGAACTGGAGGGACAGCAGAGTGGGTACAGAGTGGGACCCCCGGGAGGTGTTCTGTAGAGAGCTCAGGAGGCGGTGGGCCTGGGTGCAGCTGGCAGTGGTCAGCCGGTGACGAGTTGGAGGCCAGGAGCCCAGCTGTGCTCCTCACGGCCTGGCGCAGGGAGGCAGGTGGACCCTGCTTAGAGGGAGCCCTGGGGCGCAGAAGCAGTGTGTAGGGAGAGGTGCACGTCTCCCTGTGCTGGAGGGTCCAGCGTGAGGGAGTGAAGGAGGCCATGGAGGTGAGCCGTGTGGGCGGCACTGGCGGCCTCCACAGGGCAGCTGTGGAAGGGCTCCAGACAGAATGCTGCAGGCTAACTAAGCGCCTTTGGCTGTGGCTGTCGGGGGAGGTGGCACAGGGCCCGGGGGGCTCACAGTGGTCCAGGTCCTCTCTGTTCTCCGTAAGTAGAGGCTTGGGGAGCAGCCCCCACTGTCCCGAGACTGGGCAGTGGGTGCTGTGGGGTCAGGTGCCCAGCAACACAGGGCGGTGTGGCTGTGCAGTGGGGGCGGGGGCGTTGTCATCAGCCAGGGCTGTGTTCCCCTCAGATGTGGTGGTGGGGAGGCCATTACACTGGGGGCTCTGGACTTGGGCTGCAGGGTGTGGGGACACTGCCCATGGTGTCGCCTGTGCTGTGTGGCAGGGGGCACCGTGGCCCAGGGAAGCTCAGCAGCTTGTCCCGGTGACCCAGCCTGCTGTGGTGATGTGCGGGTGGCGGAGCCCAGGCCGGCCCTTGGTAGGACACAGTGGCCCTCACCTGTTGTGTGTGTCTCACCCAGAGGAACGCTGGCCTGGTCAGTGCGGAGGGGCGGTGTGTTGCCAGGGGAGCCCCAGGCTGCTGCTCGCGGTTTGTTGTGTGACAGTCTCTCGTCCGCACGGTGTTGACCTTCTTGTGCTTGAAAATGACAGTTATAGACTTCTGTCTGACCAGAACTCTGGTGTGTGATGAAGACACGAACTACCACAGCCTGCGGCTGAGCTGGGCTTCCAAAACCAGCTGTAACCAGAGAAAAGGTAAGGCGCCGGCACAGCCCCTCCGTCAGCGTGCTCGAGGGCGGCTCCATCCACTGGCTCACCCCGACACCCCAGCAGCCGAGGCTGGGCTGGCCAGGAGCCAGGAGCCAGGAACCCAGTCCAGGCGTCCACGCGGCCTCACGGAGCAGGACTTGAGCTGTCACTGCTGCCTCGGAGTCTGCCCCAGCAGGAAGCTGGAGTCCTGGAGCCGGGCGCAGCTGGCGTCAGTGTGGGACGCAGGCCCCCCCCCCCCCCCACGGTGTCTTCAGAGTTTCGGTGTTTGCGCTGTCGCTCTGAGACTTCCTTGTTGCAGCCACGCTCAAGCCGCAGGCAGCAGCTCGTGTCGTCGGATCTCCGTCAGACCCCCCCCCCCCGTCTGCTGCTGCCCCGCCGTCGGCTTCGTGCCCAGTAACTGGCCAGCGTCTCAGCACTGTCGTTTTGTACAGTGAAGCCGAACATTTGTAGTGAACGGCGGTGGGAACCAAGCAGATCCGTCCCTTAGCTTTTCGATAACCCTTCCTCCGACCTCTCCCCACGTTTTGCTGTTTGGAGGATTATTTTCCGGCAAGTGGGCTCCGCGGCATCAGCCACGTGCTGCCTGCTGAGGTGTGCAGCCATCTTGGGGCGGGGACCTTTGGCCGTGGTGCACGGGTGGAGGTGGGAGCTGCTGGGGTCTGGGTGTTGCCTGAGCGGTGCACGGGTTTTCAGGAGGACTCTGGGGCGGGAACCCCTGCCGGGTCAGGCAGCTCCTGCTTGGAGAAGTTAACGATGCGTTCACCTGCTGGCCTCCCGGCAGACACCACGCCGCCCAGTCTCTGCAGAGCTCCCCCAGGCCGCTGGCAACCGGCAGCCTGCGCCGTGGTCCCTGCGGTGCGGAGAGAGCAGTTGCCCACGTTTGTGCTTCTGAGTGGCGGAACCAGGAGTCTGGCTTTGGCCCAGCTCTTGTTGGGATTGCCGTGGGCCTGGCTGGAGAGGCCCTGAGAGCGAGGGCGGGCGCCGGCGGAGGGGTGTCGCGAGGCTGCTGCTGTTTGTGAGAAGCCCGTGTGTGTTGAGTTAGGTGTGGTTCCAGGAGGTGAAAAGGCTCCTGTGTTTAACCCCTTCCTCCCAGCAACCCCCACAAAACGCGAGACTAGAAATCAATGTACAAAAAAGGTTAAAAGTGATTCTTTTTGGGCCAGTCCTGGGATTGTAGGAATTTTATCACTCGTCTGCCTTGTTTGTGTTTGAAATGTTTGTGATTAGAAAAATTCTTTATAAGAATTGTCCTGTACAGCAAGCTGCTCTTCAGCTCCCCCTCGTGGGCATCGTCTGTAAGCGCAGCACAGTGGGAGCTGGCGGGGTGCCTGGTGGAGGGTCCCGGCCCTGTCATGGGCGGGCTCCCCTTCAGGCTCCTTGCAGTCTCCTTGCTCAGTGTCCTGTGATTCTGAACCCACACGCTCCGTGCTGGTGCACGATTCGCACCCGTGTTTGATTGATTTGATTTGTAAATGACATTGTGTTTCCTGCTTGCTCACTGCTAGTGTCTAGCAAAGGGGTTGAGTTTTTGTGTGCTGATCTTGTATCCTGCAGGGTTGCTGAATCCACTTGTTAGAGTTGAAGAAGGGTTTTTTTGGCTCATTTTTATGATTACTTTCGGGTTTTCTTTGGCAGTCCTGTCATTTGCAGTTAGGGCCTGGTGTGGGGTGGGGATGGTGGGGGTGGGAGCAGACTCCCCAGCAGCCTCCTGGCAGGGTCACTGCCAGGGTGGGAGGAGTCCAGCCAGACTCCCGTCACCCTTCCTGACCCCACAGGTGGGAAAGGAAAGCTCCCTGGGCTGCCCCATCTTTCTGATAGTCACATATTTAAGTATTTTGTGTTTTTAGATTGATTTATCTGAAAGGCAGCCTGAGGGAGAAGGGAGGGAAAGGGAGAGAGAACACGAGCGAGCGAAAGACAGGCGTCTTCCGTCTGCTGGTTCCCCCAGATGGCTGTAACAGCCAGGTCTGGGCCAGGCTGAACCAGGAGCCAGGAACTCATCCAGGTCTCCCACACGGTGCAGGAACTCAAGTGTTTGAGTCATTTTCTGTTGCCTTCCCAGGCACATTAGCAGGGAGCTGGATCAGAAGTGGAGCAGCTGGGACTTGAACCAGCACTCTGGTCCAGGATGTGGATGTCCCAAGGGGTATTTTAGCCCCCTGTGCCGCACGCCGGCTTAACAGCTGCGTATTTAAGGACCCTCTGCCACTGCTCCCCCCACTCCCTCAGGTTCCATCACGTGTTAGGATACAAGAGTTTCTGCTCCAGGGCCAGTGCTGTGGCGAAGCAGGTAAAGCTGCCACCTGCGACACGGGTGTTCCAAATGGGTGCCTGTTTGAATCCCAGCTGCTCCACTTCCGATCCAGCTCCCAGCTAACATGGCAGGGAAGGCAGCAAAGGATGGCCCAAGTGCTTGGGCCCCTGCACCCATGTGTGAGACGTGGAGGAAGCTCCTGGCTTCGGATCGGCCCAGCTCTAGCTGTTGTGGCCGTTTTAAAGATGTATTTGTTTGAAAGGCAGAGTCACAGAGAGTTAGAGGGAGAGAACTTGCTGTGTGTGGCTCACACTGCAAATGGCTGCAATGCTTGGAGCTGGGCCAGGCCAAAGCCAGGTGTCAGGAGCACCTTCTGGGTCTTCCATGTGGGTGCAGGGGCCCAAGCACTTGGGCCTTCCCCTGCTACTTTCCCAGGCACATTAGCAGGGAGCTGGAGCAGAAGTGGAGTGGCTGGGACTTGGGACTTGAACTGGCATCCGTATAGGAGGGTGGTGGCTTTACCTGGCACACCGCAGTGCCAGCCCAATTTAAAAAAAGTTTCTGCTCCACAAGCGCTAGAATCGCGAGAGCGTCGTCTGTGTGGTGTCTCCCAAGGCCAGCCTGGTTCCGAGCGCCACGCAAGGGCAGTGCTCAGGGCAAGTGCCCGCTTGAAGGCCACCTGGAGGTGGCTCAGTGCCTGAGCAGGAGGTGGTGAGGCCCCACCACTGTCTCCAGCTGTGTGCCTTTTGTTGGGTGACTGCGCATCCATACCAGTGTGAGCTGCGCATTGGCAGGGGGTGTGTGGTGTTGAGTGTTTGGGATTCCATGACATTGGACCAAGGTGGTTTTATTTAGAAACATGTTGTGTTTCATAGTATAGATTGCTGAGTAGAAGTCAGAGTCTATTCCCATTGTAACTTATTCTAGCTTTTTTTCCTTCAAATAGTTATTTTATTATTTGAAAGGCAGAGTTACAGAGAGAAAGAATCCATCAGTCTCCCATCTACTGGTTTACTGCTCAAATGGCTGCAACAACCAGGGCTGGGCCAGGCTGAAGCCAGGAGCCAGGAGCTTCCCCCAGGTCTCCTACGTGGGTTCAGGGGCCCAGGGACTTGGGCCATCCTCCACTGCTTTCCCAGGCCACAGTAGAGAGCTGGACTGAAATGGAGCAGCCAGGACTTGACACCCCATATGCGGTGGCAGCATCGCAGGCGGCCACTTAACATGCTACACCGCAACACCAGACCCAACTTACTCGGGCTTTTTAGACTAGCTCTTCTTTTTAGGGTAACTTACTGAGAATAAGGATAATGCATTGCTACTGAGAATACTCTGCCTTTCCTGTGGTTGTTGCTGTCCGCCTGGTAGGAGCTGGTGGTTTTCTAGTACTTACTGGCTTCTCTCAGATGTGTGTGCATGCTGATGTTGGAGGCATTGAGCCTGCTGGTGTCTGAGCGCTTCTCCTTTGCAGGCCGGGCTGGACGCGTGTCAAAAGGCTACTGTTACAGACTGGTGTACAAGGACTTCTGGGACAGCTCCATCCCTGACCACGCTGTCCCAGAGATGCTGGTAATGAGTGCTGGCCATTGGCAAAGTGGCTTTTTATAGATGGGGTTTCGCTGAACAGTTTGTTGCATAAAATTTTTTAAATATTTAGTTACTTGAAAGAGTTACAGAGAGAGACAGAAACACACACACACACACACACACACACACAGAGAGAGAGAGAGAATATCTTCCATCCTGGTTCCGACCCCAAATGGCCGCAGAGGCCGTAGCTGAGCTGATCAGGAGCCGGGAGCCTCCTCCAGGTCTCCCAGTGGGTGCAGGGGCCCAAGGACTTGCGCTGTCCTCTCCTGCTCCCCCAAGCCACAGCAGAGAGCTGGGTCAGAAGTGGAGCAGCCAGGACTCGAATCGGTGCCCATATGGGATGCCAGCGCCACAGTCCAGGGCTTTAACCCGCTGTGCCACAGCGCTGGGCCCGTCATGTAATTTTGATTCCAGAAAAATCCCCAACTTGAGGACTCATCCTGAGGTGCAGTTTGAGCTTGGTGCCTCTCAGGTCTGATGAGAGGAGCGTGCGTGGCGTCTGCTGGCCAGGAGCGCCCTTCGCGTCCTGCCGTGTGCCTGGGGAGTGCTCACTGTGGTTACCTTTTCCTCTCCACGTCCCTCCCTCCTTGGACTTCCCCCTGTCGCTCTCACCCCCTATTTCTTTGTCTCTTATTTTTTAAAAGTATTAGAGATTCAGGAAGGTCTCCCATCCACTGGTTGATTCCTCAGGTCCTGGAAGAACCAGGGTTTAGCCAGGCGCCCGGAACTCCATGTCTTCCATGAGGATGGCAGGGACCCACCCACCCACTGGAGCTGAGCTGCCATTTGCTACCCCCGGGGGTGTGCTTTGGGAGGGAGCCAGGACTCAAACCCAGGCACTCGGCTACAAGACGTGGGCAGCAGGCGGCGTAACCATAGGCCAAGTGCCCGCCCTCCCGGTCCCCTTGTCTTTCTCTCTGTGTCCGCCTCGCCCTTCTTTCTCTCCTCCTCTTTCCTGTTCTCGCCACACACCCCCACCTCCCCTCTTCCTTTCTCTCCTTGTCCTGGTCTCTGGAATGGTGCCTGTGTGTGCTGAGTTTCACTTGGCTCTTTTCAGCGTTGCCCCTTAGGAAGCACAGTATTGAAAGTGAAATTACTGGACATGGGTGAGCCGAGAGCTCTGCTGGCCACTGCCCTGTCCCCTCCCAGCCTGAGCGACATCGAGCGCACCGTCCTGCTGCTGAAGGAGGTAGGACTCCTGTGTGCCTTCCCAGCTGGGGCACTGGGGTCAGTGTGGTTCTCAGGGCCGCCGTCCCTATGGCTGGGCAGCCCGCAGCGGTGAGGGGCTGACTCCAGGTTCTGTGCGCATTGTCTCGATGGCTTTGTCAGTTCTTCCACTGGACTTCACAACCCCAGCTCTGCCCCGGCCTGTGCTGCCCCTGCCCCAGGCCTGCCGTGCGGGGCCCTTGGTGAGAGGCGGGGCAGGAGAGCTCCATCGGGCCCTGGCTCTCCCCCAGCTCTCTGCCTGCCTTCCCCGCTCCCTCCCGTGCCAGAGACCCCGAACGTCTGCTTGAGCTCTGGCCGTGCGTGCTGTGGTCGAGTCCACACGCTGTTAGCTGGCACAGCTGTGCTGCTTCTACCCTCGAATGCGTTACCCTTCGGTGGGATTCCTGCCTGGCTCTCTTCCGTCCCCACCTGCTAGGTTCTTACTGTGGGTGACACTGTGTGTGGTTACCCCCTTCACGTGCCACTCACGCTTGCTAAGTCAGGGGAGAGCAGACGTGTGTGGATGTGTTCTGGAGTGTTACCTCCAGCAACATTCTTTTTAATGATAAAACATTTTAAATTATTTGAAAAGCAGTGAGACAGATCTTTGATCCAAATGTCCACAACAACGGGGTCTGGGCCAGGCTGAAGCCAGAAGCCTGGAACTCATCTTGTTAGCCCACATGGTGGCATGCTCCCAAGTACGTGGGTGCCCCCTCCTGTCCCCTCCTGTCCCCTAGGGCAGCATTAGCAGGAACCGGGATTGGAAGCAGAACTGAAGCTCAAACCCAGGCGCTGATGCGGGCTGCGTGTGTTCCAGACTCTGAGCCCCGTGCCAATGGCCTCCGCTCTGCTTTCAGAACGCGACACATAGCGTGTGTTCCGTGTTCAGTTTCGAGAGCTCTGGCAGCCACGGCAGGTCCTCAGCTGACGGAAGCAGTTCGGAGCCTCCCTCAGCCACTGCGGCCCGTTTCCCGCCTGCGTGCCACCACACAGGCCGGGGCGCCGGGCCGAGCTTCGCTAATGCACCGTTTATCTGGTAAAGGTGGGAGCGCTGGCAGTCAGCGGGCAGCGAGAGGACGAGAACCCCCATGACGGCGAGCTGACCTTCTTGGGAAGGGTTCTGGCTCAGCTTCCTGTTAACCAGCAGCTCGGTAAACTCATCGTGCTGGGGCACGTGTTCGGGTGCCTGGACGAGTGTCTCATCATCGGTGAGCGAGGCCGGGGCGCAGGGCGCAGGGCGCGGGGCGCGGAGCCGCTGCCAGGCTCACGCGCCTGCTTTCCCGTCAGCGGCAGCGCTGTCTCTGAAGAACTTCTTCGCCATGCCCTTCAGGCAGCATCTGGATGGATACAGGTAGGGCGCGCTCGTGCTTTGCCGCCGGCCCGGCCTCGCTGCTGTCGGTGACCCTTTGTCCCGTGTGTGCAGGAGCAAGGGCAGCTTCTCTGGCAACAGCAAGAGTGACTGCATCGCCCTCGTGGAGGCGTTCAAAGTACGTCCTCGGGCTCCCGGCCGGACTCCCTGTGTGCAGGAGGGCAGGGTTTGTTCTCATGAGGATCCCGGGGGCTCATGTCGATCAACACGCAGTGAACAAACTGCTGGAAGAGGGGCTGGGGCTGGGAGTCCCGTTTGATGAAGCTGACTTGGGAAATTGTGAATTTTCTGTGGTCATGGTGCACGTACGGCTGCTGGACTTGAAAGTCTGATCAGCCAAGAACGCGTTTGGCAGCTCTGGCTTCTGTTCCCAGGCGTGGCAGGCGCGCAGGCAGCGAGGGGAGCTGCGGCATCCCAAGGTGGGTCCTCCTGGACGGCGGGCTCACCTGACTCTCTGCACTGAGGGTGCCTCTTTGGCCGTGGGTGTTGGGCTGGACCTGCTGGGTGTAAATTGTACACCCGTCGCTTGATTGTGTTTTCAGCCAGGGTTTAGATAATGAGCTTAAAGGGACCTTACCTGTGAGCCTCCATCGGTTCCTTTTTGGGTCAGATTTTTTTCCTTCTAAAGAGATCTGCTGTGTGTTCGCACTCAGTGTGCAGCTTAGCTCTGGCTCTTCCTGTAAGGCCACCTCCGCGACGTGTCACACAGCTGCTTCCCACGACAGTCGCGGTCAGGCGGCGGGCACACGGGGGGCAGGGCCGCAGTGGCTCAGGGCAGCACACACACTTTCTTACGCTCTGGTTACAATGGTCCGCTTTCATGTGTTTGAAGGATGAACTCGACTGGGGACGCCTAAATTACATTCAGATCAAGAGGATCCGAGAGGTGAGTGTGCGCTCTGTCCTCTGCGAGCTGGGTCCACTTGGTGAGTGTGGAGCTCCCGGAGCAGTGCGTCTGCGCCGGCAGCGCCCCTGCTGTTCCCCACCTCAGGTGGCGGCCCGGCCCCTGCTGTTCCCCACCTCAGGTGGCGGCTGCTGTGGCTTCTCGCCCACCCGTGGTGCTCGTGCTCGGTTCCACATCAAGGCAGAGTGGTCCCGGGCTTAGCGTCCACCTCTCCGGAGCTGGGCGGGGCCAGACCCTGCCTTGGAGAGGAGTGCAGGGTTGGGCCGGTCGCCCTGCTGTGTGCTGCGAGGCGGCCGTCTCCCTGCTCCCTCCCGGCGAGCCTGCTCTGCTGGGTAGGCTGCTTGTTTTGGGAAGGCAGGTTCTAGTGGACTGTTTTTGTTCTTTTCTTTCAGTTCTCTGTCCCTTAGTTACATTGTTTGTTGTCCTCAGAACAGTGTTCGTCATTCTTTTCAGCTCTTCCAATTCAGAGTGTTTACAGCTATGAATGAATGTGATTGTGTCCAGCTCTGGTCACAGCCGCTGATTTCTGGCTTGTAGCAATGTCACTGTCACTGTCGCTGTCATTTCTTTTGTGCTGTTTTCCTCCTTGAGGTTTTCTAGAAGCTTTTTTTTTTTTTTTTTTTTTTTTGGCCAGGCAGTTAGAGAGAGAGAGAGAGAGAGAGGTCTTCCTTCTGTTGGTTCACTCCCCTAATGGCCGCTACGGAAGGCGCTACGCTGATCTGAAGCCAGGAGCCGGGTGCTTCCTCCTGGTCTCCCATGCGGGTGCAGGGCCCAAGCACTTGGGCCATCCTCTGCCTTCCAGGGCCACAGCAGAGAGCCAGACTGGAAGAGGGGCAACCGGGACTAGAACCTGGGATGCCGGCGCCGCAGGCGGAGGATTAGCCAAGTGAGCCAGGCGCCAGCCTAGAAGCATTTTTGATAGCTTCCAGGTAAAAAGAGATGTTTTTAGGTGGCTTGTTTTGTTAATTTTTTTTATTATATTTCAGCCAGAGAAGATGGCATAATTTTATTTTAAAAAGTGATTATTTGTTTTTCATGTACTTAAGAGGCAGAGGGAGGGGTAGAGAGTGATACCATCCTTCCTCTGGCTCACACCCAGTGCCCTCAGCCGTCAGCGCTGTGCAAGCTGAAGCTGGGAGCCTGGAACCCCATGCAGTCCTCCCGCGGGGGCGGCAGTCGGGCGTCTGCTGCTGCTCTCCGAGGCGCGTTAGCAGGGAGCTGCGCTGAGCAGAGCAGCCGGGGCTCAGATGAGCACTGAGAGACGCTGCACCATAGATGGCGGCCTGCTCTGCTGCTCCGCAACCAGCCCTGGACTGAGCATGTTTTAAAAAATGCGCCGGCACACCGGGTTCTAGTCCCGGTCAGGGTGCCGGATTCTGTCCCGGTTGCCCCTCTTCCAGGCCAGCTCTCTGCTGTGGCCCGGGTGTGCAGTGGAGGATGGCCCAAGTGCTTGGGCCCTGCACCCCATGGGAGACCAGGAAAAGCACCTGGCTCCTGGCTCCTGCCATCGGATCAGCGCGGTGCGCCGGACGCAGCGCACCGGACGCGGCGGCCATTGGAGGGTGAACCAACGGCAAAGGAAGACCTTTCTCTCTGTCTCTCTCTCTCACTGTCCACTCTGCCTGTCAAAAAAAAAAGTTCATTAGAAAGGCAGATGGGCACAGAGGGAGACAAACAGGGAGTGATTTCTGTCCCCTCGTTCACTCCCCAAATGCCTGGGGGCCAGGCAGAAGCCAGGAACCAGAACCCAGTCTGGGCCTCCATGTGGGTGCAGCGAGCAATCACAGCTGCCTCCCAGGGGCTGCATTAGCAGGAAGCTGGGGTTGGAGTGGAGCCACACTCGGACTGGCAGGGGGCGGGCGCAGCATCTTTCCCTGTGCGCCTGCCACCCGCCCACACTCGGACCCGGGCGGGGGGGCAGCATCTTTCCCTGTGCGCCCACCGCCCGCCCACACTCAGACCCGGCCGGGGGGTGGGGTGGGGCGCAGCATCTTTCCCTGTGCGCCCGCCGCCCGCCTGCTGGAGCATCTTGCTCGTTCCTCGTAATTAACCCTCAGTCAATGCTCCTGGCGGCTCCAGTGGCTCCTCCCACGGCCGTGTCCACACTGCCCCGTCACGCACTCCCCGTTGGGGGAGGGCGCTGCTTCGAGACGTCAGGCTTCCGTGTGTTTGTCAGGTAGCTGAGCTGTATGAAGAACTGAAGAACAGGATCTCACAGTTCAACATGTGTGTTGGGTCGCGGCGGCCGGTCATGGACCAGGAGTACACGCACAAGCAGCGCTTCATCCTGCAGGTGCGGCGCGCGCCTTCTCCCCGTGCGTGCCCTCGTGTCCGGTGGCGTCTGAGCCTCGAGGACACGCAGCACTCGTCCTGTCCTCTGTCCCTGAGTGAGGATGCAGACCCGTGTCTCATTCCCAGGGGCTGTCGCTCACCATTGCCTCAGCGGAGCCTCCAGCGGTTTACCTTTTAAATGTCTCTTTTGTAGTAGGAGAGCCGGAGACAGATCTCCCATCTGCTGGTCCCTCCCCAGATGCCCGCCACAGCTGGTGCTGGACCTGCACAAAACCAGGAGCCAGGAACTCAGTCTGGGTCTTCCGCGTGGGTGGCAGGGGCCCAGGTACCAGGCTCTGACACGGGGTCTGGGCATCCAAGCAGCAGCTAAACTGATGGGCCACATCTGCCCTGTTTTACTTTGTAAGCAAGTAGATGTGCTCTCAACATTGTCCGCCCTGCATAGCGGCTCCCTGGCCCTGAGGCCCTGGGTGCAGGTGGGCTATTGGGTGGGACTCACAGGAGTGTGTAGCGGGAAGTGTGTCTGGCAGTGGAGACGGAACCTGCATTGCAGAGTTTGAGAGGAGGCCCGACCCGCCGCATGCCGTCCGGGCTCAGGGTAGACACCTGGAACCAGGCGTGCTGGAAACTCAGGTGTTTCTTTGGGCACAGATCACCTGCAGGCTGGGCCAGAGGTCCTGGGCGGGGGTGTCTTTCAAACAGGGAGTTTGTGTCAAAGAAGAGACCCTTAGGTACTTTTCAGAAGTGAATGAGAGGGGCTGGCATTGTGGTGTGGTGGGTACCCCCACGTGAGCACTGGTTCAAGTCCCGGCTGCTCCACTTCCGATCCAGCTCCCTGTCAGTGTGCCTGGGAAAGCAGCAGAGAGTGGCCAAGTGCTTGGGCCCCTGCACCCACCTGGGAGACCCTGAAGAAGCTCCTGGCTTTGGCCTGGCCCAAATAGCTCCTGGCTGTTGAGGCCGTTTGGGGAGTGAACCAGCAGATGGACGATCTTTCTCTCTCTCTAACTTTTCCTTTCAAATAATGAACGAAAAAATTAAGAAGAAGAAGTGCCCTGGCAGTGTCCTGAGGGGTTTCCTGAACTGCTGGGCAGGGGCGGGGCCTGGGTGGGGTGCTGCCCCTCTGGGTGCTGCGTGTGGAGCTGTGTGTGTTCTTGCCTGGACCTCCTGCCAGTGTCATGCTGCCTTGAAGACTGTGTGAGTGTCTGTCCCGCAGGCAGCCATCTGTGGGAACCACGCCTGCCTGGCCTGGACGCGGCCCTCGGTGCTGGGCTGAGGTGAGAGTGGGCGCACAGCTGCTGAGACCGTGCGGCGCCTCGGGGCGCGCCTTCCTCCTGCAGGTTGTGTTAGCAGGTGCTTTCTATCCAAATTACTTCACTTTTGGACAGCCGGACGAGGAAATGGCGGTGCGCGAGCTGGCTGGCAAAGACCCGAAGACAACCATTGTGGTGGGTGCAGTGGCGGCCGTCCCCGGGGTGTGGCCTGGTCCCTGGCTGGCACAGTCTGTGCTGTGCCCAAAGTGAACGCCGAGCCTGCCTGGCCTCTCCAGACCTGGCTGCTGGTGCCTTCCTCTCACCTGCTCCATGCACCTGGCCTCAACAGAGAGCTGATGCTGCTCCCATCAGCTGCTGTCTTGAAGGATTAAGGCTCTTGGTGGATTCACGGCTTCAGTCACAGAGTGCAGTGCTGTTGCGTGGCAGCTCGGGTGTGGCTCACAGCAGGGCTCTCCTGGAAAGGGTTTTGTTCAGGGTCAAGTTCCAGGACCTCACGAGTCTGAACTGGAAAGTGTGGCCTGGAGGTCGGCATTTCAGCAGCAGGTGCTTTTGGGTGAACGGTGCCCTCAGACACAGGCGCTGGCCACGGCACCACCGCTGTGGGCTGCTTGTTTAGTCCCAGCAGCTGTGAGTCAGCTGGAGCTGAGCCTTGATTGTGGGGGTGGGGGGTGGGGGGTCGGCTGTCCTGGACCACGTGGTCTGGTCTGAGCCCATGATAAGGGACGAGCAGCATGTGGTGAAGTTGGCTCCTGGCATAGAGCAGGTGGTTGGTCATTGCCAGTGTTTACTTCTGGGGTTGCTGGCACCACTGCTGTTGCAGAATGGAAGTGCGGAAGCCAGGGCCGGGGGCAGGGCTGGGAGGGGCTCGGAGCCCAGCTCTCCTGTGGGTCCCTGCGTGCCCGGCCAGGGCTTCCCCGGTGCCCCCTGCCAGTCCTCCAGCGGGTGCCCCCTCCTGCTTTGCTTCCTGCCTGGGAGAGGCGGCCTCGCACCAGCCCTCCTCTCCTGAGTCTCGGGGACATCCCTTCCCTTCCGAAGCAGACTCCAGGTTTCAGGGAGGGCTGGGACCAGACGAGAGCGTGGGCCCTGGCAGAGCCTCCTCTCTGCCCCTGCTGCCCTCCTGGCCATGGCGGAGGGCAGGTGGGCGTCTCCTGGCTGCAGAGCCTTTGAGGAGGGGGAGCCCCACCCCATCTGGGAGGGGAGTGTTTTCCTGTAACACTTAGGAGATGTCATGTTTTAAAAAGATGAACTTAGCTTGATGGCTGCGAGGTCAAATGAGCCGGCAGTGACGGCTGGGCCGCGTCAGCAGGGCAGGGTGATAGCTGCGGGTGGGGCGCGCGGCGCGGGGTTTCTGAGGGCCCTGTCGGTCTGCAGCTGAAGCACATCCCTCCCTACGGGTTCCTCTACTACAAGCAGCTGCAGTCCCTCTTCAGACAGTGCGGCCAAGTCAAGTCCATCGTGTTCGACGGCACAAAGTAAGTAGTGCGTGTTGTTGCCAGTGCCGAGACGCCCGTCTCTGCACCAAGTGTGGGGGCAGCGCTGCGGCCCTGAAAGAGTTAGAGAGAGAGAGGTCTTCCATCTGCTGGTCCACTCCCCAGATGGCCACAATGGCCAGGGCTGCACCAGGTCGAAGCCAGGAGCTGGAGCTTGTTCTGGGTCTCCCACATGGTGCAGGGGCCCAAGGACTTGGGTCCTCTGCTGCTTTCCTGGGTGCATTAGCAGGGAGCTGGCTGGGAAGTGGAGCAGCTGGGACATGAACCAGTACCCGTGTGGGATGGTGCCATCACAGGCGGCAGCTTTACCCATTATGCCACAACACTGGCCCCAAATTTAGTGAATTAAACTTAAGGCATCTGACATTTTCCTAAATGTCGTAACAAGTCACATGCTGTAGAGTGCTTAGTTCTGTATGTGAAGTCTCAGACGAAACCGCCATCTTGAATGCCAACAGCCTGCACCCTGGTGGGGGTTCCATGCACATGGCTGCCCCAGCTGCCCTGAGCGGCAGGCGTCCGGGCCCTTGCAGGTCTCCTCACTGCCTTGCAAGGCTGCCCCGCGCTGTGTGTGTTTTGTGCTCTTCCCACTCAGCACTGTTTCTAGGGCTCGGTTAGCGTTCACCGCTGCTTATTCGTGGCACAACGCCAGGGCGGTGTTGGGGTGAGAGGACCGCGTTCTGCTGGCCGCGCTGGTGGAAGTGCTGTGAGGAGGTCCTTGGCCAGCTCAGATGGTGACCAGAAGAGGAGGGACTGCACTCCTTGGGGTGAAGCAGTCTGCTTGGCACAGCTGTGTGCAGCCTGAGGGGCAGGCTGCGGGTGCCCCTGGGCACGCCTCTTCCTCCCACCATATAGACATGTCTAGGGGAACGTTAGTGCAAGGCTTGGGGTTGGGACCATGTAGGGCCTGCACAGCCATCCTGGACAGGAGCTAACTTGTGTCCCTGGGAGGCAGCACTGCCTTTGGGTGGCCTTCTGTGGCAGCCTGGGAGTGTGAACACGAAGAGGCGGGCGCATGGGCACCTGAGTGTTCTCCTCTGCGCTGTTTGGTTGCAGTGATCCAAAGCCAAGACTGCAAGGGGTCGACAGTGGGAGGGAGGAGTTCCAGGAGCTGGCTGCCAGCTGACGAGGGAGGCGGTTGGGTGCTGGATCTGTGGGAAGGGGACTGCTGTGGCGTGGCTGCAGGTGGCAGGTGCAGAACCTGAAAATGTGATTTAGGAGCTAGAGGAAGCTTTTCTAAGAGAAACTCGGGGGGCCAGCCCTGTGGCCTAGCAGGTAAAGCTGCCGCCCGCAGTGCTGGCATCCCACGGGAGCACCGGTTCGAGTCCCGGCCGCTCCAGGATGGAGCCTGGCTTTGGTTTCATGATGTATAACTCGCTGTCCCCGCTGTGATCACAGCTCCCTATCCCCACTGTCATAACTCACTGTCCTGACCGTCATAACTCAACATCCCCGCTGTCACCATAACTCCCGTCCTCGCTGTCATAACTCACTGTCCCAACTGTCATAACTCCCATCCCCACTGTCACCCTAACTCCCCGTCCCCGCTGTCGCCATAACTCCCGTCCCTGCTGTCACCATAACTCCCCGTCCCCGCTGTCGCCATAACTCCCGTCCCTGCTGTTGCCATAACTCCCGTCCCCGCTGTCGCCATAACTCCCGTCCCTGCTGTTGCCATAACTCCCGTCCCCGCTGTCGCCATAACTCCCTGTCCCCGCTGTCGCCATAACTCCCTGTCCCCGCTGTCGCCATAACTCCTGTCCCCGCTGTCATAACTCACTGTCCCGACCGTCATAACTCCCGTCCCCACTGTCGCTGTAACTCACTGTCCCCACTCTATCACCATAACTCCCGTCCCCACTGTCATAACTCACCGTCCCGACCATCATAACTCCCGTCCCCACTGTTGCCATAACTCCCTGTCCCCACTCTATCGCCATAACTCCCGTCCCCGCTGTCGCCATAACTCACTGTCCATACGTGGGCAGTTTTCCCGTAAGTCAGTACTGACTGACAAGTGGTAGAATGAAGAGTTGCTGGCATTTTGACGAGAGAAGTGACATGAGAATTTCTGTCTAATCTTGAGAGAAGTGGACATACAGGTGTGTGTGTGTGTGTGTGTGTGTGTGTGTGTGTTTTATCAGATGCCTGATGAGTGTGTTTTCATTTGTATTTGTGGAGCAGAGCCTTTGTGGAGTTCTCCCGTGACCCGACAGAGAGGTTTAAAACTCTCCCTGCAGTGCACATGGCGGTCAAGATGTCCCAGCTGAAAGTGGCCCTGGAGCTCAGCGTGCACCCTGCAGAGGAGATTGAGGGGAAGGTGCAAGGCGGGGCCGTGTCGAAGCTCAGGGGCATCAGGTGCGTTCCGGGGCGGGGCGGGGGGCACACCTGCTCGAATCCCGCGAGAGGCTGGGGTGAAACCACGTAGGCGCCTTTGGGTTTCAGTAATGGGGATTACACTTCACGTTGATTTCCCTTCTGGTTCCCAGAGGAGCGTGGCTGGGTTCTGAGGGTCAGTGGAGAGGGCACACGTCCGTCCAGGTTCGTGCCATGCGTGGGTTGTGGCCCCGGGCGAGGCACGTGGTGGGCCTGTGTGTGGCACGGAGAACGCCGTGCAGCTTGTCCTGGCGTCTGTGGCTGAGCGGGCACTGCCGGGTTGCTCACCAGGCTCTCCGATGGTTCTTTCCCTCATTTGAGAAGAAAAGTGTTAGAAGAACAATTCCACTCCTGTCGAGCTTGTGTGTCGCATCCCAGAGCCCCGGTGTTCACCCTCCATGCCTCGTAAGGATGAACGGAGGTCTTGGGTTTCCTAGACGACCAGGCCTGTGTTCTCACAGAGCATAGAGCTGATCATGGATACTTTTTTTTTTTTTTTTGACAGGCAGAGTGGACAGTGAGAGAGAGAGACAGAGAGAAAGGTCTTCCTTTGCCGTTGGTTCACCCTCCAATGGCCGCCGTGGCCGGCGCACCGCGCTGATCTGATGACAGGAGCCAGGTGCTTCTCCTGGTCTCCCATGGGGTGCAGGACCCAAGCACTTGGGCCATCCTCCACTGCACTCCTGGGCCACAGCAGAGAGCTGGCCTGGAAGAGGGGCAACCGGGACAGAATCTGGCGCCCCAACCGGGACTAGAACCTGAGGTGCTGGCGCTGCAGGCAGAGGATTAGCCTAGTGAGCCACGGTGCCGGCCGGATACTTCTTTTTTAAAAGATGTTTTTATATACTGCAAGGCAGAGTTAGAAGGGGAAAGAGAGAGGGAGGGAGGGAGAAGGAGGGAAAGAGAGATCGACCTTCCACCTGCTGGTTTATCTTCTCAAATGACCTCAATGACCAGGGCTGGGCCAGGCTGAAGCCAGGAGCCTGGAGCTCATCCCAGTCTCCCACGTGAGTGCAGGGGCCCAAAGACTCCGGCCTGCTTCCACTACTTTCCAGGCACATCAGCAGGGAGCTGGATCAACAGGGAAGCGGAGCAGCCAGGACTGAAAGCAGCGCCCATATGGGTGGGATGTCAGTGTTGTAGATGGGGGCTTAACCCACCGAGCCACAGTGGTGGCCCCAAATGAGGATTTTCATAGGTTTCTAAAAGTCAAAGCCACCCCTGGAATCACAAGCTAGGAAATGTTTGCAGGACCCTGGGTCAGAGGTGTGCCTCGAGGGTGGCTGTCCACAGCTTGGCCTGTGACGTCCCTGGAGGGCAGCCCAGCTCAGTGCTCGGGGGAGGTCCTGTCTGTCATCTCTGGCCTAGATGCTCACTACGGGGCTCTTGCCTTGCACGAGCATTAGAGTAATTAGAAAGATAACGCCATCGTGTAGATAAGTGTGTGTGGTTTTTTTTTTTTTTTTGTAACACTTTGTTTTTAAAAAACACATGCTCTATAGGGTGAATGTGGACTTCCAGAAGCAGACGGTAGATCCAATGCAAGTCTCATTTAACACATTAGACAGATCACGGACAGTCACAGATCTCCTCCTGAGTGTCGACGTCACAGAGGTGAGCCCCAAAGTGCCATATTGTGGCCGTGACGCAAGTTTAGACGCTCACAGCCGTGTGAGTCTGGCTTACTGTCCTGTGCAGGAAACCTGGCTGAAGTGGAAAACGGAGGAGATATTCACTCTAGAATCAAAGTTAATTTTTAAAGGCAGAGTACACTTAATGGGAAATTAATCTGATGTAGCAAGATAGGAGGTAACAGTGTTAACTGGCATAATGATGCCCGCCTCTAATTCAAATTATGGCAGTGAAACTAGCATTGTCCCTTTGTTACTTTATGTGGGTATGGCTTTTACTCCTTTAAAATGGAGCTTCATTGAGAACACTTGTCCTTTCTGGCACATCTGTGTCGGCACCTTTCTGGATTCCAGGCAGGTGGGAACACTGGCCCTGCTCGCGGGGGGCCCTTCGCTACCCAGGAGGGCGCTGCAGGCCCTGGCATGGCGACTTGTCGTCTGGGCTAACCCAAGACGGTCCTTTGTAGCTCCCAGGGCTCTCAGTGTCTGTGTGCTCGTGAGTCTGGTGCCTCCATGGAGGGGTGTGGTGCCCACACCTCCCTCCCCTGCTTGCATCTGTCGAAGTCCTGTGGCCGACCTGGGGGCTGAGCGACACCTGCGCGGCGTCTGGCGCCACCCTCGAGACTCTGTCCCCACTCCTCTCTCCTTCGCAGGTGGTTGAGGTGGGGCACTTCTGGGGATATAGGATTGATGAAAGAAACTCCGAGATTCTGAGGAAGCTGACTGCTGAAATAAACCGGCTGAAGCTGGTGCCGCTGCCGGTTCACCCACACCCAGACCTGGTCTGCCTGGCACCTTTTGCTGATCTCGATGAAGAAAGCTACTTTAGAGCTCAAATCCTTTATGTTTCTGGAAATTCTGCGGAGGTATGTTCTTCTGTAACATCACCCAGCAGTTTGTAGGAAATGTGTGGTAGTTCCAGGTGGAACTTAGCCATGGGAGGTAACGACCGCGGTGGCAGAGGGGGCTCGGGCCGCTGGGAGTCGTGCTTTGCTGAGGCCCCGCGACTCCCTGCTCGCCGGCCCCGCACCTGGCCCGGAGCCCTCGGCACTCTCTGTCCCCAGGTGTTCTTCGTAGACTACGGCAATCGGGCTCACGTGGCCCTCAGTCTTCTCATGGAGATTCCGAGTCAGTTTCTGGAACTCCCATTCCAGGTGAGGCGAGCAGAGCGCAGTGGGTGGTGGCTGCTGGCAGGGACCTGTGGGTCGCACCCTCCCCCCCCGTAGTGCACGGTGGGCGGGGGGAGAGGGAGAGGCACACTCACCACGTCTGGTTTCCATTTTTCAGAAGAGATAATTGCCGTAGGTAGGTTGCCCTGTTGTTTTTGGAGTGAGTTGAAATATGTGGAGGGTTCCAAACTTAGCCAAAAATACTGTTTTACTTCTGTGCCGTTTTCTTTTCTTTCTTCTAAAGATGTATGTATTTGAAAGGCAGAGTTCGAGCCTGGGACTCATCTGGGTCTCCCATGTCGTCTCCTGCTGCTTTCCCAGGGAAGCCGGGGAGCAGCCGGGGCCTTCCCGGGGTGTGAGCTGGTGCTCATGGGATGCCAGCCAGAACCGCAGGCAGCAGCCCAGCTCATGGCCACAGCACCAGCTCCTCTGCCAGCCGGCAAATCAGCACAATAAAAAAGGAGAGAGAACCAGGCTCCTTGGACTAGAAAGTTCTCACTACCCCCAAATTCCTCTGAGTCGGTTTCAGGAGACGGTGATGCAGACACACGCAGGTTGCTTCTCGGTGTGTCTGGGACGGTGTTTCACCCGCTGAGGAATCCCCTTCGGCTTTGCTTTGCTGCAGGCTTTGGAATTTAAAGTTTGCAAAATGCGACCCTCGGCCAAGTCTCTGGTGTGTGGGGAGCACTGGAGCGGCAGGGCCAGCGGGCGGTTCGCCTCCCTGGTGAGCGGCTGCCCGCTGCTCGTGAAGGTCTTCTCCGTGGTGCACAGCGTGCTGCACGTGGACGTGTACCGCTGCTCGGGGGCCCAGGACGCCGTCAACATCAGAGACGTCCTCATCAGAGAGGGCTACGCCGAGCTCACAGAGGAGTCGTATGAGTCGAAAGTAAGTGCTTCCACCCTTGGAGTGTGGGCACGCGTGTGTGCGTGTGAGCATGAGTGTGAGGGGGAGTGTGTGTGCCCGTGTGTAAATGTGAGTGGGGAGTGAGCATGTGAGCATGAGTGTGTGCGTGTGTGAGGGGCAGTTTGGGAGTGTGTGTGTGAGGGGGCAATGTGTGTGCGTGAAGGGCATTGTGTGCGAGTGTGGGGACAGTGTATGAGTGTGTGTGTGTGAGGGGGCAGTATGAGCGTGTGGGGGGTCAGTGTGGGAATGTGGGGGTCAATGTGTGAGTGTGTGTGTGTGCGCATGTGTGAGGGGCAGTGTGTGAGGGGCAGTGTGTGAGTGTGTGAGGGCAGTGTGTGAGTGCGTGTGTGAGGGGCAGTATGTGCGTGTGAGCATGTGTGAGAGGCAGTATGTGCGTGTGAGCATGTGAGGGGCAGTGTGTGTGTGAGTGAATGTGTGGGAGCGTGTCGGGTCTGTGTGTGAGGGGCAGTGTGTGAGTGAATGTGTGGGAGCGTGTCAGGGGTCTGTGTGTGAAGGGCAGTGTGTGTGGGGGGCAGTGTGTGGGGGGCAGTGTGAGTGTATGTGAGGGGCAGTGTGAGTGTGCGTGTGTGTGTGAGGGGCAGTGTGTGTGTGAGTGTGTGGGGCAGTGAGTGTGTGTGTGAGGGGTAGTGTGTGTGTGTGTGAGGGGCAGTATGTGAGGGGCAGTGTGTGAGTGTGTGAGGGCAGTGTGTGAGTGCGTGTGTGAGTGTGTGAGGGGTAGTGTGAGTGGGAGTGTGAGGGGCAGTGTGAGTGTGTGGGGCAGTGAGTGTGTGTGTGAGGGGCAGTGTGAGTGTGCGTGTGTGAGGGGCAGTATGTGCATGTGCGCGTGTGTGAGGGGCAGTGTGAGTGTGAGTGAGTGTGTGAGAGACACGGAGCCGGAGGTGCTTCTCTTCTCCTGAGTGCTGCCAGCGAGCAGTGTTTCTCTCCCCGTTCTTGGAGATTGAGGCGGGATCACCCTGGCTGGATGTTTTTACTGGTTTCCTGCTTAGCTTTTTAGCTCTTCTTCCAGTGGAAATCAGGTGTGAAAGTGTTCTGTGTCAGACTCACAGAATGGATTCCAAGAGCTTCCTGGTGGAAGATCAGAGGTCAGGCGTTTCCAGGCTGCTTGCAGCCAGTGATTCAGAAGCACGCCCGGCGTCGTTCGGTCCGGGGCTTCAGAGGGGCCGCCCCGCTGCTGTGGCCTCTCACTGCACTGTGTGCTCCGCTGGAGATGCGGGCAGCTGGGAGGGCTCCTCTGCCTGGGAGCCCCTGAGGGGCCCGCGTGTTCCCAGCTGGAGCAGCTGTCAACGTCCCTTCATCTGAGTTCTGTGGCTGAGAGTTAGTAAATCCGGACTTGGTTCTGCCGACTGAGTTGTAAAGAGAACTTGAGCGGGTTATCTCCGTCCTGCCTGACGCCGCAGCCATCCGAGTGGGCTCCCGCCGCGGCTCGGCCTGGGTTGGAGGAAGGTGCCGTAGTGCAGCTGCCTCCTGCCCAGACAAACCCTGCTCGTCGTTGCAGCAAAGCCACGAGGCTCTCACGGCGCTCTTTCCCAAGTCGGCGGAGAGCGGGCTGGACGGGTGTGTGCCGTCCGCCGCGCAGGACGACGGGAAGCAGCTGATCCGCGTTCTGCTGGAGAGCTTCTCTTCCAACAGGCTGGGAGCCCCCACCTGCAAGGTGACGCGGGGTCGGGCGCAGGCGGGGAGCTGGAGGGAGAGGGGTCCGTGCCTGACGAGGTTTGTTTTTAAAAGATGTGTTTACTGGAAAGGCGGAGGTCTTCCATCCGCTGCTCAGTCCCGGGCCGAAGCCAGGAGCTGGGAACTCAATCCAGGTCCCCCAGGGGGTGGCAGGGCCCGGGTACCGGAGCTGTCACCTGCTGTCGCCAGGTTGCACACGTGCAGGAGGCTGGAGTCTGAGCAGGGCTGCGCTGCTGTCTGGCCAAACCCTGCCGCGTTCCGTGCCCTCCTGCGGGAGCCCCAGGGACGCCGGCCTCCACTGCCCTGCCTTGTTGGGCTCACGCCAGCCGGTCTGTGCAGTGCCAGGAATAAGGACTTCGCCTAAAATACTTGACAGGGTTGCCTCTTTTGGCCTAAGCCCCTTTGTGTATGTGATTGGAGGAATTGCGAAATCACTGGAAGGATCAGCTGCCTTCCGGAAAAACAGCGTCGCGAACGACTTTGTCTCCCTGAATCTTGAAGACGTGATTCGATGTAGGCTGTTAGTCATGTCCAGTGACGTCTTGCCCACTGCTGACGCCCTGTGTGTGCAGGTGATGCTCCACGGGCCGTTTAACCCTTACGAGCTGAAGTGTCACAGTTTGACGAGGATATCCAAGTTCAGGTAGGACTAGCTGACTCCCCCGTGGGGTTTTCCTCTGCGCCTCTAGACCTAGACCTGGTCAAGCCGCCATCCTGGCTGAGCTGCCGTGACGCCCGCCTTTTCTTTCCTACCCTGCCAACTTCTCTCCTTGCGCTTGGCCGAGGTCGTCTTTTCCTTTGGTTCTGTGTGAGGCAGTTCTGAGCGTCTCTCGTCACAGCCTTCATCTTGCTGTTGTCATTGTTAAGCTGAGGGCCCCATGCTGTCACTGCTCTACAATCGTGGGTCCAGAAGGCAACTGGAGATGACGGCCCAGAGTGATGGGTCTTGCTAGGGACCCAGGATATCATGGAAGCCTTTGGAGGGCTCTGACCACGCCAGGGTCAGGGAGCTTTTCCGAAGAAATCTGAAGCCTGCAGGCTGCGGGAGCCGGCCACGGTGCAGGTGTCAGGAGATGGGGTGCAGGTTGAGTGGGGCCGGTGCTTGCACGGGGAGTGCTCAGGTGGGCGCAGCGTGACTGAGGAGCTGGGAGGCCCGAGGGGATGCGGGACGGGGCCAGCACCGTACGCCGCGTTTTAGACCTGGAAGCCCTCACCGTGTGTATTTGAAGACTCACTTGGGGTGAGCCCCGGCTCCTCGAGGCACCGTCTGGGGACCCGCAGTGCAGCCCTCCTCTGGAGCCTGTTAGAAACGCTGGTGTCCAGGCCTGCGTCCTCTCAAGAGCTGTGGGCACTTCGCGTGCACGCAGATGGACGCTGGGCGGCCCGCGCGAGTCCCCTGCACTGGCGTGGGGCTGGGGGCGGAACGGAGCCTGCGCTGGAGGTGGGGGTCGGGGCGTCCTCACAGAGGAGTGGGGTGGAGGTTGGGGCCTCTGTGCCTTCGCCCCGGTTTTTGAGGCGCACTGGGGGGGTTGGGCAGGCTGCCTGGCCAGAGCTCTGTGCCCAGCTGCCGCCCGCTGTGCCTCAGGTGCGTCTGGATCGAGAAGGAGAGCATCAACTCTGTCGTCATCAGCGACGCGCCGGCCGACCCCCACCAGAGGATGCTGGTCGCGGCGTCCCTGTCAGTCAACGCAACTGGTACCCGAGGGTTTGGTGCCCTCAGTCCTGTCGTTGGTGGACAGGCTCGGCCCTGTGCCCTTCTCGGGCTGGTCTCAGCACCGGCTGAAGCCGGGGCATTGCCACTTCAGCGCTTATGCACGATGTGGGCGTTAACAGTCCTTGTGCTTGACTCATTCCGCTCACTGGCACAAAGGAGGACAAATCCAAGCTCCTGGCTCTGGGAAACCCTGACGGCCTGTGGAGGACACAGGGAAAGTGTCCCCAAGCGGGCCAGATGTGTGGGCGTCCCGTAGGGGGCAGAGGACAGGCCTGGGTGGTCAGGCTGGGGGACAGCCCCGAGGCCCAGCAGGGCTGGTGGGAGGGTGCGTTGGGCAGCACTGAGCACCGTGCCTGTTGGCAGGCTCCACCATGCTGCTGAGAGAGACCTCGCTGCTGCCCCAGATCCCCGGGCTGCCCGCCGTCCTCAGCATGCTGTTCGCACCCGTGATGGAGTTAAGGTACCGGCGGGGTGGAGTGGGGCCCTCACCGTCCAGGGGAGCATCCGTGGTGGGCGGGGTGGAGTGGGGTGTCCGTGGTGGGCGGGGTGGAGTGGGGCCCTCGCCGTCCAGGGGGGCGTCCGTGGTGGGCGGGGTGGAGTGGGGCCCTCGCCGTCCAGGGGGGCGTCCGTGGTGGGCGGGGTGGAGTTGGGGCCCTCGCCGTCCAGGGGGGCGTCCGTGGTGGGCGGGGTGGAGTGGGGCCCTCGCCGTCCAGGGGGGCGTCCGTGGTGGGCGGGGTGGAGTGGGGCCCTCGCCGTCCAGGGGGGCGTCCGTGGTGGGCGTACCCCAGGAAGAAGCTGTGAGGCCGCAGCAGGTGCTCTGTCACTGAGCGCCTCAGCCGAAAGTGTGGCAGAAGAAATCAAGCCCAGGGCTAGGCCCAGGGTCGGAGTCAGTAGGATCAGCCTGCACATGCGCCACCTGTGCCGCCGCCCGTGGTTGCGGTGAGCGCAGGGGAGGGGGGAGGGTGCCCAGCAGCAGCTGTGCGTCTGGCGTCAGACACCTGTGTGGCTGCGTGAGCTTTGCACCCTGGGGAGGGGCCAGGAAAGGACCAGGGTCTGGGCTTCAGGAGCCCAGTAGAAGCGGCCTCAGCACTTGCAGAAGTAGAGGAGTGGGCAGTGGGAAATTGCCTTTTTCTTTTTCAAAATTAATTCCATTTTTATTTAAAATAAACAGACTGAGATCTCCCATCTGCCAGGTCTCTCCAGACCCTCACAACAGCCAGGGCTGGGCCAGGCTGAAGCCAGGAGCCAGGAGCTCATTCCAGGTCTCCCGGGTGGGGGCAGGGCCCACATACCCGAGCCACCCCCCGTGACCTCCCAGGGTCCACCTCAGCAGGAAGTGGAACAGAAGTGGAAGAGCTAGGACTCAAGCCAAGCACTCCGATGGGGCAGGCAGGCTCCATTGTCTCGATGGCTGTGCGTCCCACCTTTGTTTCCTAGTCCGTTGTGGGCCAGAGGGCCGTTGGCAGACCCAGCTGGTGGAGTTGGGGGAAGGTACTGTTTGCTCAGTCCCTCTGTCATGCTGTTTTCAGTTTTAGTCTAGAAGATGCATCGCGAGGTTTGATTCCTGAGGCGCCTGTCAGTGCAAAGCCTGCCCTGCCACCCACAGGCGAGACCTGGATTTGTTCATCAGATTTCTGGCAAAGAAAAACAGTGTCTCCGCTCTCGAACTTTAGGTTCAGAGTCAGTTCCAGTCAGGCGAGAAGCAGGATTTGTTCAGCAGGGAGCCGGGGGCAGGCGGCTCACAGTGCAGCACTGAGTGTCTTCATTGCGAGGGGCTGTTCCTCCCGGAGTGTTACTCCTCTGGCACGGGGTGGGGGCCCGGCCCTGGGTGGTTAGCACGGGGTGGGGGCCCGGCCCTGGGTGGTTAGCACGGGGTGGGGGCCCGGCCCTGGTGGTTAGCACGGGGTGGGGCCCGGCCTTGTGTGGTTAACACGGGGTGGGGGCCCGGCCCTGGGTGGTCTGACGGGCTGTGTCCAGGGACTGTGAAGGCGGAGTCCTCCTGAACAAGGGGAATTGGACCCTTCTCGTCTCTCTGCGGCTCCTGCTAAGTTGCAGTTTTGTCCATGCTTACTCGCTGGAGTGTGGGTGTGCTAGCCCGGGCCCTGCTGTGCCCGTCCGCCTGCTCTCCCGATGGGGGTCCCCACTCCCAGCCTCTGCCCTGGCCCAGCCCCAGCCCCAGCCCCGCCCCGGCCCCAGCCCCAGCCCCAGCCCCGGCCCCAGCCCAGCCCCGGCCCCAGCCCAGCCCCGGCCCCAGCCCCGGCTGCTGTGGGCACTTGGGGAGTAAACCAGTGATTGGGAGCCACTCTCTCTGTCTGTCTATGAAAGATGTTTTTAAATGCTCTTCAGTCTGTATTGTAAGCACATTAAGAGTGGTCCATGGCCTCACCTGCTGCTAAGCTGACGTAGGCACTTAGGGCTCCTGAGGCGTCAGCCTGGGGCTCGTGGCCTTGACACTCAGGACGTGCTGCGGTGACGGAGTCACCCTCAGTGGGTGTTGCAGGGTGGAAGCTTGTGGACCCCCGCTGGAGTGCTGTCACGTGGGGCCGTCAGCAGGACGGTCACTCGTCACGGCCGTCCACAGAAGTGTCTGTGAAGTGCGTTGTGTGGAAGGTGATGCGGAGCGCCTCCTGCAGAGAGCAGTCTGTGGCTGTCGGTGTGGCAGGTCCTGGCTCCAGGGAGCTCCTCAGGGTAGACGGCGCCTGGCGTCCCCTGCCAGCGAGCTGCGGGTCAGGGGCGGGAGGGCAGCCTGTGGACTCGGCGTGCGGGCCGCGAACTGCGCAGACACTACCTGCGTTTCCATCAAACTGCGGGATGAGCCGAGTAAGCTAGGGTGTTGTGTACCCCTTAAACCCAGGGAGTTTGGTCAGTAAAGCTGGAGGAAACAAATTGCTTTAGATGATGGAAGAAGTCTGAGCTGATGAAGTGTTGGAACCAGCAAGGCGAGTGTTGCAGTGTGTTCCGCAGGGCTGAGGCACTGGCGTGTGGCGGCTGGGAAGTGAGACCTGGGGCAGAGGCACGGGGTCAGGCCCTGTTCTGCAGGGAAGCTGGGGTGGGGGCCCGAGAGAGACGGCGGCCCTCAGCGGGGGGTGATGTTCCTGGAGCTGGCACTGTCTGCTCTCGGGAAGGTGGGGGTGCAGGTGGAGAAGATGGGCCCGGGGCGAGGACAGGCGGCCTGGGTGGCTGCCGAGAGCACCCAGAGCTGTGGGTCCTGGGCCAGCAGCCACAGGACGCCGGGGTGTGGGTCGTGTCGTGGGAGAGGGAAGGCCAACGGGAGACCTCTGTGTGTGTCGAGTCCTGGATGTGTGTGCTACGTTTTCTCCAGAAATGGGGGGTTTAGCCCACGGAAAGAGTGCCGGGTGGGAAACACTACACGTGGTGAATAGTCTCCCGTTACTTCATCTGCCGTGCGAGTGTCAGAAGCATGGCGCTGGGCTGTGAGCATGTCGAGTTGCTGTCCTTGGAGCCCCTACTTCGTGATTTAGGGTAAGAGCTGGAGGAAGACGCAGAGCGCTGGATGACTTCCCTGGTCGCGTCCGCCACACTAAGGCCTTGGCAAGTGTGGAATGACCCCTGTCCCAACGTCTCTCCCAGGGTTGATCGCGATGGAGAACGCTACACCGGAGTCCTTTGTGGCTTGGGGTGGAATCCAACCACGGGAGCCCCGGTGCTGCCGGAGCACGACATCGAGCTGGCCTTCGACGTTCGCTTCCGTGTGGAGGACATCATAGAGGTGAGAGTGACGCTCGCAGTCACGGCCGACGGTGCGGCGTCTGGTGTGGGCTGGGAGGATGGGAGCTGCCGGGCAGAAGGTGCTCCCGCACCCTCCTCCCTCCCCGGTCTTTTCTGAGACCTGTTGCTGGTGGGCGGAGCTCTGGCTTCCTTAGGTGGCGTCTCCTGGTGAAGCAGAGGAGGTTTCCTGGCAGTGGAGGCTAGTGCCAGGCCAGCAGGGCCCTGGCAGGGTCTCATCCCAGCCGGTGCAGGAGGAAACGGGCCTATCCCTCCCCTCCCCCAGGTGCACTGACCTGAACCAGGGTACGGGGCCTGACACTCCGTGTGTCCTATGTGGGTGCAGGGGCCCACGCACGTGGCCGTCATCCCCTGCCTTCCCAGGCCATCAGCAGGGAGCTGGCTCAGAAACTAAGTAGCTGGGGCTGGAACCGGCCGACCAGTATGGGATGCAGGCGTCCTAAGCAGCAGCTGGAGGTGCTGTGCCCCAGGCCTGCCCCCTGGACTAAGCTGTTAGGAACGTGTGGAGCAATGGGCAGAGTGATTGTGTGACTGGATCCAGCCACAAGGTTCGTGGGCTTGTGTCGTGTGTGTTTCTGTGCTCAGTCATCGTTCCGGTAACTCTTGTTACTGTGCTTCACGTAATGGGGGGAGCTAGAGTGACGGTTCAGCAGACAGCAGCGCGTGCCGCGGGTGTTCAGAATCCCTCCTTCTCGGGTGATGCCAGTTCTCCTTGAGCTGGGTGGGGAGGGCCGGGCGGGGCCGCCAGGTGGAGCGCCCGGCGGCAGCCAGGCACCGTGTGGAGTGGTGCTGGTTTACCTGTCAGGTACTCACTGCCTTTCTTATAAGGGCTGCTGTGCCTAAAGTACGCCTTATTTCAGAGAGCTAATTGGAAAGTGTAAACTAAAAACCCAGGAGCAGGTGTAGGAGAAAATCCCTGTGAGTTTGTGGACACAGCAGCCAAGGGTCAGTCTGCGGAAGAAAAGGCGAAAAGTTGGACTTTACCAAAATAAACAGCCTTGCAGGAGACCCTGCTCAGGGGGAGCGAGACAAGGAGAGGTGTGTGTGCTGGGCACTGTGGAGGCCTTCACCCGCGGTCACGCGTCACTGATGTGTGGGCGCAGTGGGCAGACTCGGTGTCACGTGCGGTCAGGCACGCCCAGGACGCTGCTGTGAGAAGCCACGTGCACTGGCAGGATGGCTGAAGTGGGAACACTGGCCGCTGCCCAGGCTGGCGGGGCCCGCTCAGCAGAGCGCCCGTCACGTCACTGCTGGCGGAGTGCGGCGTGCAGCTGCGTTGGGAGGCAAGCTGCCTGCCACCTTCAGCGGAGACGCACCGGAGGCTGAACGCCTGCGTCCACGTGGAACGCGCTGCGGACGCTTCTGCAGGTCACTCACAGTGGCTGAGGGCCGCCTTCAGCAGGGGGTGCTGGCGCTATGGCGCAGCCACACCTTGGAACAGCGGTAACAAGGAGCAAGGGATTTGTGCGACACCAGATGAGTGTCAGACACATTTGACTAAGAGAAGTCGGGACCCAGGGCTGCGTGTCGCGTGGCGTGTCCACGAGGCGTTGTGGAAATGGCAGGCCTGGGGGGACAGGTACAGATGAGTGGTTGTTGGGTTGGAGGCCGACTGACGGCAGGTCTTGGGGGCGCAGTGGTCGACGTGTGACTCAGCGTGTGTCCTGAAAGAGGCCGAGGCCATCCACAGACACCCCACCAGGGTGGCGGGCTCCTCGGATGGCATGCACCCTCCATGAGTGATAGCAGGAGGAAGACATCAGGCCCGGCTCGGCACGCCGTACGAAACACCACACCAGAGCTCCCGCACGCCATCAAGGTCTGGGCGGGCACGGGTGCAGGGGGAGTCCCTGCTTGCGCTGCTCTCGTGCCATGTTGGAGGAGCTGGGTCGAGTCCTGGCACTACTCCCAACTTTATTTCCTCCTCCTTTTTTTTTTTTTTTAAAGATTTATTTATTTCTTTGAAAGAGTTACACAGAGAGAGGAGAGGCAGAGAGAGAGAAAGGTCTTCCATCTGATGGTTCACTCCCCAGATGGCCTCAACAGCCGGAACTGCGCTGATCCGAAGCCAGGGTCCTGGAGCTTCTTCCAGGTCTCCCACGTGGGTGCAGGGGCCCAAGCACTTGGGCATCTTCCACTGCTTTCCCAGGCCGTAGCAGAGAGCTGGACAGGAAGTGGAGTAGCCGGGTCTTGAACCGATGCCCATATGGGATGCTGGCGCTTCAGGCCAGGGCATTAACCCGCTGCGCCACAGCGCTGGCCCCAATTTTATTTCCTTCTAATGCACCCCTGGAGGCAGCAGTGATGGCCCAAGTACTTGGGTTCTTGCCGCCCACATGAGAGGCCCAGACTGAGTTCTGAGCTCCTGGTTTTGGCCTGGCCCGGACTTGGCTGTAGTGGGCATTTGGCAGGTGGAATCAGTGGGAGGGTGATCTCTGCCCGTCTCTATCTCCTTAAAAATAATAAATATTTTTTAAAGTCATATTAAAAAAAAACATGCCCTGGGCCGGCGCCACGGCTCACTAGGCTAATCCTCCGCCTGTGGCGCCGGCATACTGGGTTCTAGTCCCAGTCGGGGTGCCGGATTCTGTCCCGGTTGCCCCTCTTCCAGGCCAGCTCTCTGCTGTGGCCAGGGTGTGCAGTGGAGGATGGCCCAAGTGCTTGGGCCCTGCACCCCATGGGAGACCAGGAGAAGCACTTGGCTCCTGCCATCGGATCAGCGCGGTGTGCCGGCCGCAGCGCGCCGGCCACGGTGGCCATTGGAGGGTGAACCAACGGCAAAGGAAGACCTTTCTCTCTGTCTCTCTCTCTCTCACTGTCCACTCTGTCAAAAAAAAAAAAAACTGAACAACCAGTAAAGACACTTTATATCTATCCGCTACAGAGGGGCCTGGTGCCCTGTCCTCTGTAGGAGGTATCTGGCAGGGGGACGTAGTGTAGGACATGGGTGGGAGGCCAGTGAGCTGGAGCGGCTTGCCATGTGATTAGCAGTAGTGCGACCACATGGATGGGCATGTGGCCCCCTCTGCTGTCCCGGCCGTGGGCACTGCGTGTGGGCCCTGTGTCCTGGCCGTGGGGCACTGTGTGGCCCCCTCTGCTGTCCTGGCCGTGGGGCACTGTGTGGCCCCCTCTGCTGTCCCGGCCATGGGGCACTGCGTGTGGGCCCCTCTGCTGTCCCGGCCATGGGGCACTGCGTGTGGGCCCTGTGTCCTGGCCGTGGGGCACTGTGTGTGGCCCCCTCTGCTGTCCTGGCCGTGGGGCACTGTGTGGCCCCCTCTGCTGTCCCGGCCATGGGGCACTGCGTGTGGGCCCCTCTGCTGTCCCGGCCGTGGGGCACTGCGTGTGGCCCCCTCTGCTGTCCCGGCCGTGGGGCACTGCGTGTGGGCCCCTCTGCTGTCCTGGCCGTGGGGCACTGCGTGTGGCCCCCTCTGCTGTCCCGGCCGTGGGGCACTGCGTGTGGCCCCCTCTGCTGTGACTTTGCAGCTCTCGCGACAAAGGCCCGTGACAAGCCCTGGCAGGAGATCCCTGGGGCGGTGCCCGCACCCGCGCTGTCTCTGGCTCTTGTTGCTGCTGCCAGCCTGAAGCGCGTGTGCGGTGCCGCGCTGCACTCCAGCTGTGCGTGTGGGCAGAAGCTCCTTGCTGGGTTCTGTGTTCCTCCTCTGCTGCTGTTCTTGAACCAAGACGGTGGTGGTCGATGCAGTTGCCGTGGCTTCTCCAGCGACCTCGATGGTGGCCCTGGGAGCCGAGCGTGGGGGCTGCGTGTGAGCAGGGCCTTCAGGTTCCACGTCGCTGTCGTTGCAGATCAACATTCTCAGGGCTGCGATCAACAAGCTGGTGTGTGACGGCCCCAACGGGCTGAAGTACCTGGGGCCCGAGAGGGTCGCGCAGCTGCAGGACGACGCGCGTCGGAAACTCCTGAGGTGAGCGTGTGGTGTCTGGGCGCCGCCCTGGCTGCCCGGGTGTGGCCTTTGGCAGGTTCAGGGGAGGGAGATGGCAGTCCTGGCTCCTGACTTCAGCCCGGTTTGGTCCCAGCTGTTGTGAGCATTTGAGGAATGAATCAGTAGCTGGAAGATTCTCTCTCTCTCTCTCTCTCTCTCTCTCTCAAATAAAATGAAGCTAAGTGAATAAATCAGTAATTTTGAATTCCCACTGTCCGTTTGCCAGCCATCCTGACCCACTGCTGCCTTAGACTCTGTCTCTACAGGGCTGTCTTCTGTGACGTTTTTTATGCATGGGATCAAGTTGTTTTTAAAAATGTGGCTTCTTGGAGCCACTGTGTCATAGCAGGTAAAGCTGCCACCTGCAGTGCCGGCATCCCACATGGGCGCCGGTTCAAGACCCGGCTGCTCCACTTCCTGTGCAGCTCTCTGCTACAGCCTGGGAGAGCAGTAGAAGATGGCCCAAGTGCTTGGGCCCCTGCACCCACGTGGGAGACCTGGAAGAAGCTCCTGACTCCCGGCTTCAGATTGGTGCAGCTCCAGCCATTGCAGCCAGTTGGGGAGTGAACCAGCGGATGGAAGACCTCTCTCTCTCTCTCTCTCTCTCTCTCTTTCTCTTTCTCTCTCTCTGCCTCTCCTTCTCTGTGTAACTCCGACTTTCAAGTAAAATAAATAAATCTTTTTAAAAAAAGTTGGCTTCTTAGCATAGTATTTTTTTAAAAGATTTATTTAATTTATTTGAAAGGCAGAGTGATAGAGTGGAACAGAGAGAGAGAGAGGTCTTTCCACTTGTTCACTTGCCAGATGCCCCCAATGAGGACTGGGTGAGGCGGGAGCCAGGAGCTCCATCTTGGTCTCCCATGTGGGTGCAGGGGCCCAGCCCGTGACCATCTCCTGCTGATGAGCAGGGAGCCCGATCAGGAGCAGAGCAGCTGGGTCCGGCCGGGGCCGCAGCGTGGGGTGCCGGTGCTGCAGGAGGAGGCCTTATGCACAGCGCCACAGTGCGCCTGGAGGTTCGCCCATGACGTGACGTGTTAGGTCCATTTGCTAAGTGACAGCGCACTGCCTGTGGGCGTCAGGGCTTACCCGTTGCAGTACCGGCCATCGGCAGTCACGTACGGTCTTCCTGTCCTGGGTGTGTCTGGAGCAGACTTGGTCGGCTGTGTTGGTTGAGCAGAGAAGGGTTCAGAGTGCCTTCCCGCCAGCTCCACGCCAGCGCTTGGCACTGCCAGCGCGTCCAGCGGCGGCCACGCTGGGAGCTGTGGTCGCATCTCCCTGTGCTCGTTTGTGTCTCCTTCATGGCTAGTGGTGCAGGAGTGCTTTTTTATATCCCTGTTGCTCCGTCGTCCGTCTCTTACAGAGGTCAGGTAGACGTGAATTCTCTCCACGCGTCTCTCACCAGATGTGCGCAGGGTTCCCGTCTTCTCGCTTCAGGGGTGTCTTCTGAAGCCCGTAGGTTTTGAGCTGTGATAAAATCTGCTTTATCTTTTTTGGTGGGTGGATTATGATTTTAGTGTAATTTAAAAAAAAAACTGGGGGCCGGCACTGTGGCGTAGTAGGTGGGGCTGCCACCTGCAGTGCCAGTTTCCCATATGGGTGCCAGTTCGTGTCCCAGCTGCTCCACTTCCCACCCAGTTCTCTGCTGTGGCCTGGGAAAGCAGTGGAAGATGCCCAAGCACTTAGGCCCCTGCACCCGCGTGGGAGACCCTGAGGAAGCTCCCGGCTCCTGGCTCCAGCCTGGCCCAGCCCTGGCCGTTGTGACCTACTGGGGAGTGAGCCAGTGGATGGAAGACCGACCGACCGACCGACCGACCCACCGACCAACCTCCCTTCCTCCCTCCCTCCCTCCCTCCCTCCCTCTCTCTCTCTCTCTCTCTCTCTCTCTGCCTCTCCTTTTCTCTCTGTATAACTTGGACTTTCAAATAAATAAATAAATCTTGAAAAAAAAATTGGGGCCTGCATTGTGGTATAGTTTGCTGCAACACTGGCATCACATATGGGTGCTGGTTTGAATCCCACCTGCTCCACTTCTGATCCAGCTCCCTGCTGATGGCCTGGGAAGGCAGTGGAAGATGGCCCAAGTCACTGGGTCCCTGCCTCCCATGTGGGAGACCCAGAAGAAGCTCGTGGCTCCTGTCATTGGCCTGGCCCAGCTCTGGCCATTGTGGCCATTTGGGGAGAGAACCAGCAGATGGAAGGCCTTTCCCTCCCTCTCTCTCTCTGTAACTCTGCCCTTCAAGTAAATAAATAAATCTTAAAAAAATCTCTGCTAAACCTAAGATCACAAATGTGCTCTCTTCAGTTTTCTTTGTTGCTTCTTGTCTGTAGGCCTTGGATCCACTTTGAGCTGGTTTGTGTGTGGGGCGAGAGCCTGGGCCGCGGTTCTTTGTGTGAGTGCCTGATTGTTAGGGCTTTGTTTGCTGAAAAGCCACCCTTTCTCCCACTGAGCGGCCTCAGCACCTCGGCCAGCCCTCGGCCAGCCCTCGGCCATGAACACGAGGCTCCGTTTCTGGAGTGTGTTTTGCTCTCTTGGCTGTGTCTGTCTGATGGCTGTGGTGTTTCAGTAAATCATGAAGTCGGGTGGTGTTTGTCTCCCTGTATTCTCTCACCATTCAAGGGCCTTTTTCATTCCGTGTGAGTTTTAGGCTCACCTTGTCGGTTTGTGCAGAAGGCCTTGCTGGGGGCCTGTTCTGGGTCGGCAGCTCGGCTGGGGGGTGTGCGGCTGCTTCGTGCGCAGGTGCCTCTGTACTGGGGGCTCTTTCCTTTCTTTGAGCACTGCTTTAAAGCTGCCAGCATGCAACTCTTGCACGTTTATTAAATTATTTCTGAATAGTTTAGTTCTCTTGAAACTATTGTGAATGAAAGTATTTCTTTAATTTTATTTTTGGAATTGTTCCTTTCTTTTTTTGACAGAGAGAGAGAGAGAGAGAGAAAGGTCTTCCTTCCGTTGGTTCACCCCCCAAATAGCTGCTACAGCCGATGCGCTGTGCCGATCCAAAGCCAGGAGCCAGGTGCTTCTCCTGGTCTCCCGTGCGGGTGCAGGGCCCAAGCACTTGGGCCATCCTCCACTGTACTCCCGGGCCACAGCAGAGAGCTGGCCTGGAAGAGGGGCAACCGGGACAGAATCCGGTGCCCCAACCGAGACTAGAACCCAGGGTGCTGGCGCTGCAGATGGAGGATTAGCCTAGTGAGCCGTGGCGCCGGCCAGAATAGTTCCTTTCTAAAGATGAGCAATTGAGTTTTATGTATTGGTCTTTTCTTCTGTGACCATGTCAACTGGTGTATCAGTTCTTGCAGTTTTTGTAGGTTCTGTGGGGTTTCCCACGCACAGGATCATCATTAGGATGAAACCCCCTCCCCCCCCACCCCTCCGAGACTTCATGCTTAGAGGCCTGTTTCTCTGATGCTGGCGGAGCCACTGCTGCCTCCGTTGGCTTCTGCCGTCTTCCTCGGGGCCTCCTTGCGTCTTCAGTCTCTTCCGCAGTTGTCTCTGCCCCTTTGCAGAGGTTCTCTCGGCACTGGCATCACGCCTGACCCTGACCCTGACGCCTGACCCTGACGCCTCTCCCTGACGCCTGTCCCTGACCCTGATGCCTAACGCCTGACCCTGACGCCTGACCCTGACCCTAACGCCTGTCCCTGACCCTGATGCCTAACGCCTGTCCCTGACGCCTGACCCTGACCCCTGACGCCTGACCCTGACCCCTGACGCCTGACCCTGATGCCTGACTCTGACACCTGATGCCTGACCCTGACACCTGATGCCTGACCCTGACGCCTGTCCCTGACGCCTGTCCCTGATGCCTGACCCTAATGCCTGACCCTGACGCCTGACGGCTGACCCTGACCCTGACGCAGAGGCGGGGCCGCTGCACCCTAAGGCTCTGCCCCTTCCTTCAGTCCCTTCCTTGTGTGCTTCGATGGCTTCGTTTCCTTTGATCTGTTTATGAATCTTTTTATTTATTTATTTGGAAGGCAGAGTTACACAGAGAGACAGATCTTCCATCTGCTGGTTCACTCCCAAATGGCTGCACCAGCTGGAGCTGAGCTGATCTGAGGCCAAGAGCCAGGAGCCTCCTCCAGGTCTCCCACGTGGACTTGGCCATCTTCTGCTTTCCCAGACCGTAGCAGGGATCTGGATCGGCAGTGGAGCAGCCGGGACACAAACCGGTGCTCACAGGGGAGGCCAGCACCACAGGTGGTGGCTTACTCTGGTATGCCACAGCATCGGCCCCTCGATCTGTCCCCTAATCGTGCTGGTTCTTCCTCATGCTGTGTCAGACCTGTGAGGTTGATCTGTAGAGAATTTTCTATTTCAGTTATTGTACTTTTCAGTTCTAGAATTTGCCCCCTTAATGGGGTAGAGATTATCTGAGTCATTGCCATCGTATTTTCTCTTTAATTCTTTAACCGCAGTGTGCTTTGCTCTGAATATATTCATTGTGGCTGCTTTGAAGTCTTTCTTATACATTATTATTAAATCCACATGCATGCCTGCTCGGCCCTCTGTCGCCTGTTCTTCCCTGAGCTGGGCTAAGCGTTTCTGGGTCTTTGCTGGTCCCTCGTGGTGGTGTTGAGAGTGGGTCCCGGAGTCTGCACTGCAGGGAGTCCCCGAGCGGGCGGCTGCTGTTTCCGTGGTTGGAGTTCTGTCCACTCAGTGACTCGTCTGCACGCCGTCAGGCCCCCGAGGCCCAGGCGCTCTGTGGGGGGGTTCTCATTCCTTCAGTGGGGCTCAGCAGCCCCCTCTGCAGGGTGGGGGCTGCGTGCCCGTGTGTGGGGCCCCTCTGGAAGCCCTGCGGGGTCTGTGGCCTGCCGCTGGCTGGGTGAGGGGTTTTCTGCACTCGCTTCCCGTGGGCGTGGGCGTGGGCGTGGGCGTGAGGGCGCCACACTTCGGGCGGAGCCAGCGAGGCCCTCCCGCCACAGATGCCGGTGTCCGTGGCCGCCCGGCCCGGGAGCCCTGGTGCTGGGTCGGGCTGGTGGGGGTGGCAGCCCTGCCCCCACGGCTCTTAGCAGCAGCCGAGGGTTTTCACGGCAGGTGCTGCTCTGCCCTCTGTCTGCCAGAGCCTTCAAGTCGAGGTTGCTTTCCGCAGCTGGGTCGTGGGTCGTGGGTCGTGGGACGTGGGTCGTGGGGTGGGCAGCCCTCCTCTCTGCTCCCTCGGCGCCCGAGTCCCTGTCGCTTTGCGTTTTCAGCTGCTGACGTTTCCCGCTTGCGGCGGCTGCTGCAGAGTGAGTGGACGGAAGGCCCTGCCCTGAGCCATGGCCGCCGCTCAGGGAGGCGCGGCCTCCCTGCTGTCATGGAGACGGCCCTGGGTGTGGTCCTCACACCCGTTGGCTGCGCTCCTCTTTTCTGGTTTTGGGTGTGCTGCAGGCTATGAGAGCTCTTGATCATAACTGCTGGATCGTGGCCCGTGAAAGCTCACTGTAGTTAGAATTCTGAGTGTGAGTGTGTGTGAGAGTGTATGAGTGTGTGTGTGTGCGCACGCGTTTAAAGACCACAGTGGGGGCTGGCATTGCGGCTCAAGGGGCCACATCCCGTATGGGTACAGCTTGAGTCCTTGTTGCTGCCCTTCTGACCCAGCTCCCTGCTTCTGTGCCTGGGAAGCAGTGCAAGGTGACCCCTAGTCTGTGGGCCCCTGCCACCCACGTGGGAGACCTGGAAGAAGCTCCTGGCTTCGGCCTGGTTCAGCTCCAGCCTTTGCGGCCATTGGGGAGTGAACCAGTGGTTGGAAGATCTCCACCCCCACCCCCATATATAACTGCCTTTCTAATAAATGAAATCCTTTTAAAAACCACAGTAGTGTTTTCAGTTACTAGTGTATGATGAAGATAGTTGTAGTAGGGTTTTTCTGGTATATAACTCACTTAATTTCCTTTTTTTGAACTCTAGTTTGTTCTGCCAGTCAAAGCCAAGAGAGAAGGTTGTTCCCACGTGGCACGAGAAGCCCTACGAGTGGAACCAGGTAGGTGAGAGGTGGCCCGTGAGTGGCCCGTCCCGTGGTGTGGGCGTAGAACCAGGCCGGCTGAGGCTGGGTGTGTGCTTGTGGCCAACAGCTGGGGCCCAGAGCAGTGGCTGTCGGGCAGCGTCCTCTGCGTCAGGCCCAGGGTCTTGCTCTGCGACTGGGAGGGTGCAGGCGTGAGTGTCCGGTGGAGCCCTCAGCTGGCGGTGCTCTGGGCACAGACGCCCCCTTGGCGCTCCAGCCGCGTTGCTGGGGCTGTTGCCTTCCCTGCTCCGGCTGCACGGGCTGAGCAGCGGCTGGTTTCTCGCAGTGCTGGGGCTGCAGGCTTGAGGGCAGGGTGGGCTCTCGCTGTGTCCTGGGGCAGGGGAAGGTAGGGTCAGTCTGTGCGCGAGGGGCCACGGAAAGCACAGCTCCCCTGGAATCTTGGAAGCAGCCGTTATTTTACCCTCCAAAGTCCTGCCCACACCCTGGCGACCTCACAGTTCACGGCCTGACCCCAAGGACGGCGCCCTGGGGGAGGCGCCCCTGCCCGGCCAGGAGGGCTGCCCAGGCCCAGGCACGGCAGAGCGAAGCCTTGGGAGGAGCTCCACCCGATTCTCACTCGCAAGCCTTTGTCCTGGAGAAGAGTGAGGAGGGGAAGGAGACGGGCCGGGAGAACTGGGCCCGCTCCCTGGGAGCCGCAGTCCGGGCACCCACTGGGCGCTCAGCGCTCCCTGAGCCTGGCCTGCCGGCCGCGTCTTCACCTTAACCCGCGGAACCTGCTGACGGCCCCTCTCTGTCTCACACCTGAACTTTCTTGTGCGAGACAAGAACCCACTCCCCCTCTCTGCTATCACTGAGGGCCGTGGTCCTGGCACGGCGCCCCCCGGCCTCATCTTCCCTGGTCACTGCCCGCGGGCGGCCCGGGCTCCCGTGTAGAAACCCACTTGGGAACGCGGAGGGCCCACCCCGGGCTCCTGGGCGTTCCCTGTCATCTGAGGTTTTGGGGAAAAGCTTTATGAATTCCGGAGCAGGGTCATCTTTACAAACAAAGCCCCTGGGGTGGCCGCTGTGCCCTTGGGCAGTGCAGGGTGACGGCCCCGGGGTGTGTCCCTCTGCCCCAGGCTCCTTCTGCAGCCAGACTGTCGCTTCTCCTGTGCCCTGGCGACAGCCCCCAGCATGTGGGGCTCTGAAAGGGGCTGCCCACCCGTCGGAGCAGACTGGGGCCGGCCCCGTGGCTGGGCTTGAGTTGAAAGAGTGTCGTTTTGAGGCAGTTTTAGAGATCATGTATGTTTAAATTCCTGTGATGAAATTGCTGAAATGGTGCATATGGGGAATTCATTGTTTCTAAAATTGGTAGACCCCGTGGGAGTGAGCTCTGATCCACCGGCTGACCCCCTGCCGCCTCCACCGCCGTCCCCACCGGGCGCCTGCAGCAGCTGGTGCTGGCGCAGCCGAAGCCGGAAGCTGAGCTCGGGCCGTCCCCGCGTGGAAGGAGCCCGTTAGACTGCAGCCCTCACTGCCGCCCCACGGCCAGGAGTGGAGCCAGGAGTGGGACCCGGGCACCTCTGGAAGGGGTGCAGGCACCTTTTTTTTTTTTTTTTTTTACTTGAAAGGCACAGTTAGAGGAGACACAGACACACAGACACAGATCTCTGATCTGCTGGTTCGCTCCCCAGGTGGCCACAGTGGCCAGGGGTCTCCCGCATGGGTGCAGGGCCAAGCCCTGGGGCTGTGCTCTGCTGCTCCCCCGGGTGCACTGACAGGGAGCTGGAGCAGAGGTGGAGCAGCCAGCACTCACGCCGGTGCCTGTCTGGGAAGCCGGTGTTGTAGGCAGTGGCTTCCCCCACCACACCACAAATCCGGCTCCACGAGGGCCTCTTAACCAGAACAAACGCCTATCCCTGTTTGCCATATTAGTAAACCTAGATTTAAAGTCAATTATGGAAGTGTTTTGGGTGCGGCAGGATGCCCGCCTCCCATGCTGGAGGCTGGTTCCCGGTCCAGCTTCCTGCTCATGCGTTCTGGGAGCTGCAGGTGACGGCCCAGTCTCTGGGTTTTTGCCAGCCATGTCGGAGACCTCGATGCAGTTCCAGGCTCCTGGCCCAGCCCTGGCTGTTGGGGGCATTCAGGGAGTGAACCGCAATTCTGTCTCTCACTTTGCCTTACAAATAAGTAAACTAAGAATGAATCCTCAGTGTGCAGCATGAAGGAAGTGTGAGAGTAGAGAAGCTGGAAGTATTTTGGGGAACCTGAGGGACCTCTGCTCTGTTGTGTGTCGGGGGGGGGGGATCTGTCTTGTCCTCCGTCCACGGAAGCCCCGTGGACCAGCCTGACTGCTCTGTTGTGTGTCGGGGGGGGGATCTGTCTTGTCCTCCGTCCACGGAAGCCCCGTGGACCAGCCTGACTGCTCTGTTGTGTGTCGGGGGGGGGATCTGTCTTGTCCTCCGTCCACGGAAGCCCCGTGGACCAGCCTGACTGCTCTGTTGTGTGTCGGGGGGGGGGATCTGTCTTGTCCTCCGTCCACGGAAGCCCCGTGGACCAGCCTGACTGCTCTGTTGTGTGTCGGGGGGGGGGGATCTGTCTTGTCCTCCGTCCACGGAAGCCCCGTGGACCAGCCTGACTGCTCTGTTGTGTGTCGGGGGGGAGGGATCTGTCTTGTCCTCCATCCACGGAAGCCCCGTGGACCAGCCTGACTGCTCTGTTGTGTGTCGGGGGGATCTGTCTTGTCCTCCGTCCACGGAAGCCCCGTGGACCAGCCTGACTGCTCTGTTGTGTGTTGGGGGGGGGATCTGTCTTGTCCTCCGTCCACGGAAGCCCCGTGGACCAGCCTGACTGGCCCTTTTTCTGCCCCCAGGTTGACCCACGGCTGGTCATGGAGCAGGCGGCGCGGGAAGACGGCCGGGGGAAGAGCACGCCGCTGTACCAGCTGCACAAGCTGATTGTGCTGGGTCCCTGAGCTCGCGACGGTGGGCAGGGGCTGGGGCCGCCCGGCTGTGTGTCCACGCTCCTGTGGCCAGCCGCCTCCTCTCTCTGGAGCATGGGCGGCAGCCGTCTCTGTCGGTGAGGGGGTTGGAGAGATAGGAAGGTGCCATCCTAAATTCGTGTGAAAGAGGAGCTCCAGTTTGCTTTAATTTATGAAGGTCAGTGTACGTAGCCAATCCCACATGGAAAGTTCTAGAATGTGCTGGTGGATTTTGTTCTGTTAAATGGTTTAAACCTGGGCTACAGAGAAGACCGTGATTTCCAGTTCACCACGAGGGAGGCCATGTTTCTTTTTAAAAACCATGTCGCATTTCCTGATTTTTTCCACAAAGGAAGATAACTAATTTTGGGAAACCTAACTTTACTTTTGTATATTTAAGACTTTTTTAGTTAAGTCATAACTCCGGGGCCACGTTTGGAAATCAGAGGGGTCACCTGGCAGCGAGCCTGTATGTGGAGACAATAAAAGCATAGACCACGTTCTTGTTTGGGCAGTTTTTAGTTAGAGGGGATGGAAAGGTATTTTGTTCTAAAAAATATGAGTAAAAGTAATGAAGTGAAACAGACCTCTTACTCCCCTCTTAGCCTGTCAGGGTTCTGTGCGAACAGCGGCCACGGCCGGCGTGGCTGCTGCAGGGGGAGGCGCACGGCCTGGGTCACCAGGGCGCCCGCGGCAGGCGTCCCTGCTGGGATCCTGAGCCTGGGCTTGTCCTGTCCTGGCCGCCAGCAGGGTCACTTCGACTGAGCACAGCCCAGGGCCTGGGCGAGGCGGGGGCGGGGTGGGGGCGGGTGCTACGCTGCCGGGCCTGGCCTGGCCTGGCCTGGCTCAGGGCCACGCAGGGACAGCTAGGCCGTGCTGGCCTGGGCACCGCATCCCCAGCCCGCCCTCTGCCCCACGCCTGCCTTCCCGGCCCTGCTCCAGTGAAACAAGGGGGTGGGGTGGGGTGTGTGCTTCCCGGCGCTGGGTGGGGCCATACAGGAGCCTCTGCCGTACCTGCGGTGACCACACACGGTCCACGTGCGGAGGCCGCCCGTGACAGCAGCCGCGTGCTCTCTGCTTTGCCAGCCCGTGAGTCGGGTCCGTGGTGTGTGTGCGTTTTAAGTTCTGTTCATGTGAAAGACGTGGCAATGGAGAGAGAGATCTCCACCCACCTGTTCATCCGCCCAGTGCCCACAACAGCCAGGCCTGCACCACACAGAGACCGGGCCCAGGAGCTCCTCCCAGGTCTCGCCTGTGGGTGCCAGGGACCCACCCCTGCGGAGGGATGCCTGGTGCTAGCGACGCTGTCGCCACTTGCACGCCTTCGGGGGCGCCGCGCTCCGAGAGCTCGCTGTGCAGGCCGCACAGAGCCCTTCAGTTGTGCTCATGTTTTATGGTTAAATATTTATAAAAGCTGACCATGCTTGACCATCGAGAAACATTTTAAGTGGTTGTAAAGGCCACGTCTGTTTGGTTACAACCCATTAAAGCTGGACACCTGTGAGAAAAGAGGTGGCCGCCTTCCAGAGTTCAGCTGCTTGGAAGTTCACAGCACACAGCCTGTCCAGAGCTAGCCGGAGATCTCGCCGGAAGGAGGCGCTGGGCGGGCAGTGGCGTGGCGCAGCAGGGCCCGCTGGGACGCCCCCGTCCCGAACTGGAGTGTGCAGCCCCAGGTACCCCACTGCTGCCCAGCTTCTGCCAGTGAGGATGGCTCGGGTGCGAGGCCCCTGCGCCCTGGGGGAGACCCGGCTCCCGGCTCCCGGCTCCCACCTGGCCCAGCCCCAGCTGCTGGAGGCATTTGAGGAATGAAACAGTGGATGGAAGGTGGCGCTCCTCCCCCTCCTCCCTCTCCCTCCCCCTCCTCCCTCTCCCTCCCCCTCCTCTCCTCCCCCTCCTCCCCTCCCCACCCCCTCCTCCCCTCCCCCTCCCGGCATCCCAGCACCATATTGGAGCGCTTGTTCAGGTCCTGACTGCGTGCCTGACCCAGCTCCCTGCTGTGGCCTGGGAAGGCAGCCGTGATGGCCACGTGCTGGGCCCCTGCACCCACGTGGGACCCCGGTGGGGTTCCCAGCTCCCCCCGTGGCGGCTCTGTCGAGGCTCAGCCCGAGCCCAGGTCTGCCTGCGCCCTCAGGGCACGGAGTTCTCTGCTGCAGCGAGTCCTTGGTCAGATGCCCTGTTCTGTGGACATTTTCTGCGGTCTGGTCTTGCCTGTTTTAATCGTGGTAAAAGGCATGAAGTCGGCTGCCTTCCGCATCCGTAGGGTCCGCAGACACTTGCGTCCGCTGCCGCCCCTCGGCGCGCTCCGGCGCCGGCCCCCGCGTCTGCCCCTGCTGCTGCAGCGTCTGGTCCCTTGGTGTCGCTCTCACGGACACTTGGCATGGGGTGATTGGCAGATGTTTGCCACTCGGGTCTGGAGGCTGCTCGGAGACGTGGCCTCTGTGCCATGGCTGCCGCTCCCCAGCCATGGCTGAGCCCCAAGCCCCACGGCTCCGTTTCTGCCCACCGGGGAGCTGCCCGTCTCAGGAGAGGCCAGGCTGTGTCGGTGGGGCTGCAGGGCACCTGGCCATGGTGCCGGCCAGGGTGGGGGCGTTGCCGGAGCGGGTCTCGTGGGTCTTTCCCTCAGCTCAGTGTAGGGACAGCCAGCCGGGAAACAGTTTGCAAAGGGGCAGGAACTCTTATTTGATTGTCAGGCGGCAGAGAAAGCGTCTGGTCTGGGAGGGACCAGGCAGAGCGCCCGAGCGGACGCCGGCTCTGAGGAAGGCCCCGGTGTGTAAGGCACTGCTGTCTGTCCACTGGGTGGCCCATCGCACAGGGGGGCTTCACATCCGATTGTTGGTTGCTTGGGGATCATGGCGATGGGGGTCTCCTGGAGACTGTCCGTCTCCCCAGGGCCTCAGCCCCTCCCCTGCCGGCTCTGGGTGGAAGACTGCACCCACCCTGGAGGTGGGATTTAAGCCGCAAGGTCACACACGCAGCACGAGAAGCTGTTAGTGGGGAGACGCCGGTTGGTCTGGAGACAGCTTTCCAGCCCCGCCGCAGCCTGCTGGTGCAGGACATCCTGCCTCTGTCTGAGGGGCCCGAGACCCCAGCCCGCCGGCCGGCCTCCCAGCACGGGCATCTGGCTGTGCATAGTGCATGACCTGGTTCCAAGACACGCACACACGCACACGCACACACACACACACACCTGGGTCCACACTGCACTGTCGTCCCTGCAGCAGTGGGGGGCCGGGCCACACATTCACACACTCACTCCTGTGTCCAGTCTGGGCCAGGCCCTCTGGCCAGCTCGGTCAGCCCGTTCAGCCCCTCTTCCTCACAGCCCCTGTGGTGCCCTGCAGCCCTGCAGCCATGGGGCCCGGGTCCTTGGTGCCGAGTGGGCGCCTGGTCCTCCAGGCATGGGTGGGTGGGGTTGCTGTGCAGGGACCTGGGAAAGGCAGTGGGGAGAGCCCGTGGCAGCCCGGGAGGCCCTGCTGGGTGGAGCCGGCCATGTGAGGTCAGGGCTTGAGGACGCCCCGGGCATGGGGGCTTCCTCCCTCTTGGTGTCACCTAGGTGTCCCCCACCCCCCCGCCCCTGGAAGGGTGGCCGTCGGGGGGCAGTCGGGGCCTTCCCGTGGTCGCATAAAGGAGTACAGAACCTCCGGTCGAGCTTTATTCACCGAAGCAGGCGACCAGGCCGGTGTGGCGCCAAAGCCATCACCGGGGCACCGGCTCAAGTCCTGGCTGCTCCACTTCAGTGCAGCTCCTGCTGTGGCCTGGGAGGCGGCGGAGGACGGCCCAGGTGCTTGGGCCCCTGACCGCGTGGGAGACCAGGAGGAGTCCCAGGCTCTGGCTCCAGTCTGGCCCAGCTCTAGGGAGTGAACCAGCAGCTGGAGGATCCCGCCCCCTCTCACCGTCACTCTGCCTTTCAAATAAAAAACCAAATTTATAAAAATGGGGGTGGGCAGGCTGGGTTGGCCCCCTGAGCGTTGCCTGCTGGCCCTGGACCGCACAGTGGCTGTCACGCTGGTGCCTGGATTCCTGGGCGTCAGCCTGGGGTCTGCGTCAGTGACCCTGCACTTCGAGAGCCGGCCGGGTGGGGAGGGGACCACCAGACCCAGCACAGGGCCCTGTGACTGATTCCTGCCCCCGGTTCTCTACTCGTCACCCAGCGCACTGCGCGGCCAGGGGCTCAGGGGCCACCCTGGCCTCACACCAGCTGACACCGCTCTCTCTGCCTGCCACCCCCTTCCTCCCCCTGCCTGCCTGCAGTGGCCTCTTGATGCTCCTGGGCCCGTCCCTGGTCACTGGACAGCATGGGCACCTGGCCCTGGGTCCCTCAGTGTCCCGCCCCTGGCCGCTGGACAGCATGGGCACCGACTGCATGGATGTGCAGTGGATACAGTGCAAACCCCACCGATGCCCGTGGCCCCAGAGAGGGGCCGGGCACACAGGAGCTCATGCACAGATGTTTGTGGCTCGGGGGCAGGAACACGAACCTCTAGTCCATGTGTGACGCACCCAGCCCCTGGCGCCCAGAGCACACCATTCCTGGGACCGGGTCTCAGGTGAGTACAGGGGCCGCCCTGGGCTGGTGCGCCTGGGGTCCCAGGGGCCCATGGGGCCCGCGCCGCCAATGCAGCAAGGCCGCCAGGTGAGAAACCGTTGTTGAGGGCCAGGGCTGGTCTCTTCGGCGTCCCTGACCCCAGGATGCGGCTTGGCCGTCTGCTCACACGTGTGGCGGGTCTGGGAGGTCAGCAAGAGCGCGCTGGGGGCGGGCGCCTCTGCCTGCTCCAGCCACGCCCAGGGCCGGACAGAGAGGGCCTGGGGGAGGCGCCTGACATCAGCACGAAGCGGACACCTAGGCCCAGCCCCATAGGTCCCACCCGCCCGGCCCGGCCCTAGACAGGCCCCGCCCCCCCGGGCGGCCCTGGCCTCCTCCCAGCCTCTCTGTGTCCCCAGCAGGCATGGCGCGCGCCTTGGGCCCTGAGCGGCGGCTGCTGGCTGTCTACACCGGCGGCACCATCGGCATGCGGAGCGAGGGTGGCGGTGAGCGGGAGCCCCTGCACTGGGCGCCCTGGGCGGCTGGGCTGGGCTGGGCTGGGGTCCTTCTCCCTTGTGCGCCCCAGGAGTTCACCTTGGAGCTGCTGTCCCAGGCGACCTGAGCACAGGGTCTCCCCGTGTGTAGCTGCAGCCGTGGGTGTGGGGCAGGAGGACGCGGAGTTCTGTGCACCCCTCACTAGGGCGGGGACAGAGGTGCCGCGCGGCCCTGGGGCCCCAGCCCCCCAGTGCCCTCTGGCTGTGGACACCCACAGACCCGTGGCACCTCGGGGAGGGCCTCAGACCCCTGCCCTCTGCTCTCGGTGCTGAAGCCAGCCTGGTGACGGTGCTCGGCTGGCTTTGCCTGAGGCCACGGAGGGCCTGGGGCAGGGCCAGAGCTCTAGGCCACCTGGGCAGCTGTGCCGCAGGCCTGAACTGGGCACCTCAGGAAGGAGCCTGGGGCCTCCCAGCATGGGGAGGGAC